TCTTTACCAGCTTAAATGCTAATTCTGAAGAAATTCCGAAGAGAAATATGTGACTTACATTAACCAAAGGGTAAAAGGGTATACTAATACGTCTAAATGAAAAATGTATGTTCGAGGCCGGAAGAGGCCTTGCAAACTCCATGTTGTTGATACATATTGAACGTATATGATCAACAGGACAAAACAAATTAACAACTGTCCGCCTGTATGAACACAGAGAACTTTTCAACTATGAAAGCTAGGGTCACCAAAGTTTGTAGTTATAATAACGTAAATCAGCTTTATTATAAACCATATATAGCTTCAATGTTTTACCTAACTAACATAGGAATGATAGGTGCCGTGATCAAGCTTAATCTTAAACACTATTCTGTTTATTTCGGAATCATAACCAAATATCAGCAACTTTGAAACTTGTACATTTGTAGCACAATTGAAATAAATTTGAAAAATGAAAAATATATTCAGATTCCGGCGTTGTGCCAAAACTCTTTTACAAGTATGTACATAATAACACATATACGCCAATCAAATACTGAAACGATTATCAAGGCTTGGCCGATATCTTATCAATCATACTTTAGTTATATGGCAGTCGGACAACTGCAATCTGATTGTTCATACATAACAGTAGGCAGTGGCACTAGAGTCTGACCCAAGTAAAGGTAAATGTTGCAATTACTGAATTTATTTACCTTCACAACGATGTACAGAGTCTCTTGCAATATACAAGCAAACAAAATCAAACAAACAATTGTTTATGTTTTTTTAACCCTGCCAAAAATACAACACACGTTTATATTTCTCCTCATTCTTATTTTGTTTTGTTGTAGACGCATAAAGTGGAGCGAGGGGGCAAGGGGCGAAGTAAATTAATAGAAACAAACACAGGAAGTTCAATTAATAGCATTTGATATGATTTTTTTTTAAAAATAGTTTGTACAGTTTCACAACAGATTCACAACGGGGCTGAAATGTAGAATGTCTGATGAGCAAGAAGTAGTGAATCGTACAATAACTTGAATGGGAAAAGGAAATGAGTTGAAATTCTTTGGAGATTTGACTCACCTTCTCGGCAAACTCCTCTCGCGGTCGACGCGATATTGTTGTCGAGTTCATGAGTTCCTTAGTGGGTGATGGTGTCATGACTTTGCTGTTCTGGTTGCTTCTGTTCTTTTCCAATTTTTATATGTTTAGTTAACAATTTATTTATGTTTTTTGTTTAATTAGACTTTTTCGTATTGCTTTTCGTTACACTTTTTGCTCAGTTTGAGATTGCGTGCTGCAAACAATTTAATTATTTACTTTATTTTCTTTTTACTTTACTTTTTAGTGTTGTAGCATATTAAAGCATTACACAAAAATATGTACTCGTTTTACAATTTATTTTTCACAAGGCGTATACTTGATACTACTTAGGAAGTAGAAGTTTTCACTAAATTTGGTTTGGTAGTATTTGGTCGGTTGGTTTATTATTAAACGTATAATTGTTGGTGTTAACACTTTTTGTTAAAGCGTTTCCAGTTCCACTATATATTTAAAGATGTTTCCCCTGAAATTTTGTTTTGTTAACTTAAGTAATTAAGAATTTTATGGTAACTCAATAGCTCATATACTTTGCTTAGAAAAATGGTTTAAGGTTTTAGCAGAAAGTAACATTTAAAAGCACATGTAAAGGAATTTCGCAAAAACGTTACGTTACGATAGAGAGTTAAATATGTATACATAATTGATTATCAATTTAAGCCATTTCATAAAGCGTAAGGAAAAACTGGTATTGCATATGAGGAAGGTTTACTTTATTTACCGCACATAGAGATAAATATATGTACATATGTATAATTTTATCAGTTGGCGAATTGTTGTTGTTTTCGACACTATTTAAAAATGGTTGCGTAGCCTCACAAATATGTATGTCGCTTGGGTTTCTTTTTTATAACAATTATTGTTCTTATTTTGTTTTTTATTATTAATTAGCCTTTCGTTTACTTCCAACCGGCGCCTTCGCTAGAATTTTTGAATGGTAAACAGAAACGCGCGTTTACCTTAAACGTATATAAAACAACGCATTTTGTATTTTTAGAAATTCAATCAGCGGACGACGACGCGTGACAGTTGATGACGACGCAACGCAGCGCAGCGCTGTCGTGACGCCGACGCCGTCACATTCACCGTCACCGTCACTGTCGCCAAGAAGTTGACAACAAAAACTTTGGTTCGGTCAACCGGCATATTAGTGTGGGGCAGCATTTAAACGTTGATGACCTGGCTACAAAGACAGCAACAGCAACAACAACTAGGAAGCACATTTATTTCTGTTGTTGCTGTTGTTGTTGGGGGGACAGGCAAGGGTACCCGGCAATAGCGAGGCCTAAGAGCTAAAGTTGTAAGCTGCGCTTAACTGAGTTCAGAATCTTGTGGCTAAGCCGGCCGGCTAATTAATTTAGCACGTTTAATGCGATTTAGTCAACTCTTATTAGCAAAAAATGCTGTCGACCTTCAGCCCGCAATTCTAATTGAAATTCAATTGGGGAAGCTCGCATTGTATGAATTTTGTGTTCGCAGTAAGGGCCGGCAACGTCATCATCACACACACACTACACTACACACACACACACAGCAGATGAGGCAGCAACAGTTTGTTGAAGGAGACAAACACACACACACGCAAACACGCACACCGGTAAAACTTGTTATCGGCAGCGAAGCAGCGGCATGCAGAATTGAAAGAACCTCTAAAAGGCTGCGTGCTAAGGCCACAAACGAGTTCTGGAGCGGCGCAGGCACACACACGTTATAGCCACGACCGTTAACCAACACCACCGGCACCACCAACCGCCAACTAACAACCAACAACAGAGCGCTGAACACAACTCGAGTGCTTTATTTTGTGCAATGATGTGTATGTTTGCGATTGTTGTGGTTGTTTTTGTTTTTGAAAACTCTATGACTATGCGGCACTTGCAGGCACTTAAGTACTGCTCCAGTATATTTTACTTTAAATTAAAAACAAACGAAAGTAAATCAACAAAAACGAAAACACGCCGTCGACGCGCTCCAAACGACGCGAACGCTTCAAAGCCAAAATTGAAACTAAGACGCCAATAGGAAATACAAAAACGAAACGTATCGAAACTCAAAGAGCACAGTGAAGAGAGAACGAGAGAGAATCGAGTAGCCGAAAGGCACACGCTCGACTATTAATTACTCTACACAAAGGCTACAATATGAATACCACAGTGGTGGTGAATATGTGTCTTATTGAGCGTTCAAAGCAGCAGCTATAAATGTATAAAAGGCCATCATTAACTTTACTAACCGTTTTCTTTTAATTTTAAAGAAAGCTTTGCTTACTCAGTTATTGGGTTCGTGTTGCTCTTCAAATGTTTCATAAATCTTATATACTGTCATTTTTAAGGGTATATTAACGGCTGTTGCTACCGTTTTATAGGCCTGTCAACTTGTTTTAGTTTTTGAATTTTCCGAACTTGGAACGATGGAAACGAAGAGCCGTTTTTAACTCTATTATAAAAACCTGCTGTATATTAGAAGTTTCTCTTATTGACCTTAGCCCTTTTGGAAGCGTAGAATTTAATTTGGATATGGTATGTTTTGTGTAACAGCTTCCATCCTCCAAACACATACATTTTTTTACCATTATTATATATTATTATGGTTTTTCGAAATAAGCAATGAGTAATTAAATTTATATGTGAACCAGACAGCTTTTGTCCTGTAGTGGTTGTTGAATGCTTGCGTCCTCCTCCCATTCCTTAAGCTTCCATCTTAAGATTCGCACACAACGGTTCAGGGTTATTTGTTACCAGTGTGTTTCCAATATATTGCTATCCACAATAACAAAACACTTTTAAGAATATTTATAGCAAATTGTCTTAGTATACAAAAAAAGGGAGCAAGGTAACCTACCTTAATTACAAATAACACAAGTAAAATTTGTATATTTAATTATTATTATCATGGGTACCTTAGGAGTCAGTCAATTGGATCAAACAATCGAGATATACCTACCCATATTTCCATATTTTTTACCAAATAATTTCAGAAGTCAAATATATCTGTCATCAAATCGTTTCCAACCATCAAATGGCCAAGGCCGGAATTTTACACGCAATTGTGATTTCAAATTTTACGAAATATTGAGACAGATCTGCACATAACAAATAAATATTTAAAAAAAGATGATATTTTTGTCGTCAATAACTTTTCTTTTTTTTGTCAAGAATTTCCAATATTTTGGACATTAGCTGAACACCAATGATCAGGATGATGAAGATTATAATTGTAATATTATTGGAATTAAAAAATAAACACCTAACATTTACAAGATCACAATCTTTTTAAAAGTAAAAAAAAAAATTAAATGATATGGTTTTAATATTATTTCGAATTATTTAATCTGAATTTAACTAAAATAAAATGATAGGTATGAAACTAAACTTATTATTTATATTAAATTAATTTTTATTTAAATTTTTAGTCAAATTTTGGGTTATTTTGAAGTTGGTTTATTAGCATTTCATTTTTGATTCTACATCTCTAAAAAGTTTAATTAAGGCATATAGTATAAAATTTTCTTTTGAACTCAAAAAAAAAACAAATGCAAACTCGTATATTAAATTGTAAATTGTTTGTTAATTTAAAGCCAACATTAAGCATTTTAGAATAAGAAAACGCTTGCCATTGCAAAGTCTTCCTCGTCCTCGACACCGAATGACGCTTTTTTTAAACGTTTTCAACTCAACATTATCTAACTTTTCATTCTTTTCCTTTTTGCTGACACAATGACCAAGACGCTGACCCGTTGAAATCAATGCACCACTCGGAGCTCAGCGTATATACGTATATTACCGGATTAGACCAATCCATGGTAATCCACATTGCCGACGTGTGCGCTTTCTGTGGGCTAATCCTATTCTACCAATACGTACTCGTATATAAAGAGTGGCGAGCACTCGCACTGATTTTGTCTTGGACGACCAGCCAGCACCGTGTTGGTTCGTGTACGCGCGCCAATAACAGCAACAATAAAAACCACGATGGATTACAACAAAAATGCAGAGCAAATAAATCCTTTTGGCAACGTGTCGACGGTGTTGAGGCCGTCAGCGCGTCTGTCCGCCGAGTCGCATCTGCTGGGCTGGAATGTGCCTCCGCATGAACTGAGACACATACCGGAACATTGGCTTTCCTTCCCGGAACCACCAGAGTCTCTGAACTATCTTCTGGGCACACTCTACATATTCTTTACGTTTATGTCTATGTTTGGAAATGGTCTCGTCATTTGGGTTTTCTCAGCGTAAGTTTTCACTGCTTTGTTATTAGACTTATACAAGTATTTGCACAAGTAATGGTTTTTCTCATTTTCAAGCGCCAAAGCGCTGCGTACGCCTTCGAATATACTGGTCATAAATCTGGCGATTTGTGACTTCCTAATGATGAGCAAGACGCCTATATTCATCTACAACAGCTTTAATCAGGGTTTCGCCTTGGGCAACTTAGGCTGTCAGATCTATGGCATCATTGGCTCCTACACTGGGATCGGGGCGAGTGCCACCAACGCCTGTATCGCCTATGACCGCTACAACGTCATTACGCGCCCAATGGAGGGCAAGATGACACACGGCAAGGCGATTGCCATGATTATCTTCATCTACATGTACGCAACACCCTTCGTGGTTGCGTGCTATACCGAGAGCTGGGGTCGATTCGTTCCAGGTGAGCTTTATTATCTAGTATCACTGTTGTTAAGGGGGTGCACTTGATTGGGCGTCCGAACGATGATAGGTGGAGGTACGAATGTCGCGAGGGTAAGTCAATGAAGTGTTACTACTTAAACAAACCAAATGAACCGCAAATAGATTGAAAACTTTTTAAAGTAAGCCATAAATATCTAAAGAGAAACACTTTATAGTATAAATCAAGACCTAAAGACTCTTCTTCAACATTTAATTTTTGTGAAAAAATATATGATAGAGAAAGGATCTACCATATCCTTATAACCTAACATAACTTAATATATTTTTTAATTCTTCTATACTGACTTACATGTATGGTCTTTGCGAAGTCTGTTTAATTGCTTAAAGATGGAAACTTTTATGCAAAAAAACGTTTAGTAAATCAATTCAGCACTTCAAACTACCATTCTGATCTAAGTGCAATACTCTACGGACATCAATTTATTGAAAAATTCTGAACATTATGAATATTTGTTTTCAAATATTTTGAATTTTAAAAATAGAGCAAGGAATTGATTTTTAACTTGAAGTTAAGAGACAAACCAAAGAACGTTTCATATTTTAGTTTAATATTATAAAAAAAAAAATTACGGATAAGTATGGATATTGTAAAGTCTAGCGTTTCGATTTTTGCATAAATACGGCGATTAGGCAGGGAAATTCAAAATGCCTTTGTCAAGTGAACGAACTCGACACCGACCGTGGTAAATATCTGTAGGCTTAAAACTTATCGTCAAGTCGACATTTTGGCGTATTTGGCGGCACGCAAGCCCTGCCACAAATTCAATTAGCGGTCTCTATAAAAGCTCGCATGTGAGCAGAGGGCGAGGCTCGAATAGTTTTGGTCGCGGCACGCGTACGTTTTATTCCCAAGTGATTCTCCAAATGGGCGATGCCACGGGTGCGCTCTGCAATGCCAGCGAGCCTCCTCTGCTTAAGCCAGAGGCGCGAGTGGCGGGCAACGACGAGCTGCAATTCCTAGGCTGGAATGTGCCACCAGACCAGATACAATATATACCAGAGCATTGGCTGACGCAATTGGAGCCACCCGCATCTATGCATTATATGCTGGGTGTGTTCTATATCTTTCTATTTTGCGCGTCGACGGTTGGAAATGGTCTGGTCATTTGGATTTTCAGCACGTCCAAGGCACTGCGCAGTAAGCACTGAAAATTCGGGACACCATTACAATGGGAACTCTATAATCCTTTCCTCAGCACCTTCAAATATGTTCGTCCTAAACTTGGCCGTTTTCGATTTCATAATGTGTCTGAAGGCGCCAATTTTCATCTACAACAGTTTTCATCGGGGCTTTGCTTTGGGCAATGCAGGCTGCCAGCTTTTCGCCGCCATAGGATCCTATTCGGGCATTGGTGCTGGCATGACCAATGCAGCCATTGGCTACGATCGTTACAACGTTATAACCCAGCCAATGAATCGCAACATGACCTTCACAAAGGCCGTCCTGATGAACATCATCATCTGGTTGTACTGTACACCCTGGGTGGTGTTGCCCCTGACACAGTTCTGGGATCGCTTTGTGCCAGGTGCGTATTGTAGGTTTTCCAATAATACACTAAAGATATCCGAAATTTGAAAAGCTGAACTTACATTTTGAAAGATGTTGAGGGCAGGGACCGCAAATAATGATTAATGTGTGTGTGTGTGTTTTTTTAATGTGAAAAAATCATTCACTTGTGGTAGAATTGAGAAAACGATGATTATACCAATATCGCTCTTTTAGGATTATCTATACATATTCACCATGATTTAAAAATTACAATATAATGACTAATTTTGAATTATACTTTCCAACTCAACCAATAAACATTTTTTTGATCAAAAATAAAACTCAGGTTGTAATTGTTTTTCATAGGGAATAAGGACAACACTTATATAAAATAATATATATTTATATTTTTGGAAGAGGTTTTTTCTGAAAGTTAGCTTCAAGAATTCAATGGTTTCTACCAACTTTTGCGCACTTCTCTCATTAGTAGCATAAGAAGTATTTAAAACCAATTGATTCGGCCCAGAAATAGATCCTTCTTTATATCACCAATGTATTGAACTTCTTCAGCACACAATTCTATCATTGTTGGCTAACTACAATTGTTTATTATTATTTTTCTGCAAAGGACAACCTTTTAGCAGTAGTTTACCTCGAATATTTATTGTATTAAAATTATATAGCCTATTTCATATTACATAGCCTATTTCAGTAAAGAACTCTTAATAATATAATAATAAAACACTACATAATTTTCTACTTTGGTAATCACGCAAATAATCATTATATTATACATACGAAACAAATTTTGAGGACGAAAATTTTAATCTCAAAAACCAAAAACAATTGTCAAAGTGTGAAAAATTCAAAAGAGGAAATTCGGATTGTTGCGCCCAATTGCAGACGTGGGATCGCATTATTGTTTGTTTATCGATAAGTTTGAGAGTATACATTTACTTGTGAAGTTATTAGACATCTGTTGGCCAAATCCAATAATGGGGCCCTTTAAAAAGAAGAAAGGTGTGGTGTCTCCAAAGGCCTTACAACTGTGCTCCAGTCGAAACAGACCACTTTTGAGTCGACTGCCGAACACACTCCCATCTGAACTTTCTCACTCCTCACCGGCATCGTTGGCTTTTGAGATGATCACGTTTAGGGCTAGATTGCCGTCCTCGGAAAATAGCTCTACGGTGGACTTATTTAGGACCAGAAAGTCAGCATTTGTGAAGGCCACAAAGCTCTCGCGTATAGAGCGTGGTTTCGACTGCCACTTAAGAGTACGATTGTTGGCCTCAAGCGAGATATTGTAGACAAAGTCAGAAGCGTCGCGCATGGAGCCAATCATGCGACAGGCAGCAAAGTACTGCTGACAGCCCTCGCCCAGATGGATCTTTTCCAGCGAGAGTAGAAAGTGGCGACCATGACAGGACTGTATCATTGTCCAGTCCAACGCCCCCTCCAGATTTACGTTGGTGGCCAAGAATATGATATCATTGCCATCCATGGTAATGACATTCTCGTGAGTGGTCACCAGATGCTTGTACACATCCTTGAGGGGACCCTGCCAGACGCACTTCTCATCCGGATAGGGACAGAAGTAGGGACGAAACTCACAATCCTCCTCATGGGTCTTCTTATCCGTATACGACAAACGCATGCGACAGCCATAACAGGTGTGTTTGCACGGAAAGATCAACTTGGAGGCCACCTTCTCCATGGCCAAATTGCGTATATTGGTGAGAGTGACGCGACACACGGGACACACGTTGAGCTTGTGGCGGCACGAGGAGCAAATCAGATGTCCACGCGAGCACTGCATGATCGGTGGCATCATATAACCAAAGCAGACTGGACACTCCAGCAGTGAAACGAGAAAATCACTGATCACCGTCTCTTTGGGGCGCTCGCACAGCACATTGGAACTGTTGGTGCCCTCAGCCTGCTGCGGCTGCCTCTGCAAGGCCACCTGGCCATCTCCCTCCTGCTTGTTCTGCTGTTCCTGAGTCTTTGGTGGCACACGAGACTGCTGCGGAGCCAGCGCTGGTGCGGACTGACGACGTGGCAACATGGTATGGCCCTGTTTTCGAACGAGTGCTAAATTCCGCGAAATTTTCGAGATTTATTGTTAACGCCTTCACGCAAATCTGTTTAATGGACTTAAACGCAATGTATTTTTGGAATTTTAGTGAACTGGACTGTGCGCAAATCAATATGTTTCGGATCTTTGTAAGTACCAAAAATAAAGAAAATATGAATTGATCTGAGAAAACTGTTTAAAACGAAATGAGGAGAATAATTTTATTGTTACACTCGGAATTTTGTTCTGGTTCTGAAACTATGGAAATTCTTTTCAAAACTGAATCCAATTTAAATGTTTTTCCAAGCCAACTACGATCTTGTTGTATGCCTAAAAAGTAGTATTCGTAGTAGTATTCATTTTACCATTTTCACAATAGTATATCATTCAAAATCCTGATTGCATCCACAAAAATATACATTTATACAAAATTCAATTCTTAAATGGGTATTTGGGCTACAATATTATAGAAACCAAACCTCTTCCATACATTTTTAAACCACTTAACTTTTTAATTTCGGTAGAACTGAAAACCGGAAAGCACCGCACCAGTGTTACCAACTTTAGATCTGGTCAGACAGGCAAGCAATTTACACACAAATTTATCTAATTTCGCGAGAGGATTTGAATTAGCTTGTGTCCAGTTATTTCTTACAAGCACATCTTGGGATTGTACTTTTCAGAGTCTACATGTAAAATAACAGAATTTTTTGTTCAAATTATTTGCTGTTTCGAACAGGTTGGTCTTGGTAGTTCGAGCTTAGCTACTTACCAGCATCCTAACTTTTTTTTTTTAGTTATTTCTAAGGTTTTTGCAATTGCTGATCTTTTTGTGCCCTCAAAGGCAATTTAGTTTCTTTAGCTATAAATGGGGACGAACATTTCGAAATATCTATTTGGATGAGAAGTCTTGTTTCTTAGTTTTAAAGTCACGAATAAAAATGCCAAATAAAATATTCTAAATATTGAACCATGGGCAAGAACTTTGTATGTTTTTTTTTCAAATCACTTTAAATCTTGGTTCAAGTTACTTTATTTTTATATAAAATATCGCAATTCCTTTTTCACGAATTACACATAATTGGTAGAGCATACCCCAAATATCCATTGACTTAAAGCAATACGCCACCCATCAAGTAGAGTAATACACATTTTAGATACTTTTCACTAATATGTAATCACTTTTATTTCATCTGCAGTTTTGTGTTTTCGTATTTTATTGTTGTATGTAGTTGTAGTTGTAATTTGCGCATTAAACATAAAGAAATTACATGATACATATCTGTATATTAATATTGAACAATTGCTTTAAAATTGAGCTGCTGTTGTTGCTGTTGTTCATGTTAAATGAGAAAAACAAAATCTACAAAGACTGTATGTTCTTAAAGGAAGGATTTATGCGAGGCCTGCACTATTTCCTTTTCATTGCATAAATAGAAACACACATTGTAGATGAATCAAATGATTTGAAGTATTATGGAGATCGACTAAACTAAAAATTAGGCTAAAACATGATTTTTGGTTGCACACTATTTGATCCGTTATCAATCAAATGTACAATCTACGAACGGTATCTTTTATCTTTTCTTTTTGGCTTTTGAACAGAATTCTCAGCGTTGATGTGCATATTTAAATTTTAGTTGCTGTTGTCTTTTCACTCGTTTTTTTTATATAGTTACAAATTTCAAATTTGTGATTAATTTACAATTCTCGAGATATTGTTACATATGTATATATGTTATTTGTAATTGCATTAAGTGTGTTGTGGTTGAGTTGTTGTTATTATTATTGTTATCATTATTATTGTTTACTTATTAGCCATTTACAAATATTGTATCAAATAATTTACATTAACTAAACTAAGCTTTCTTGTATGTATGTAAGGGTGTGTGTTTGTTTGTTTGTTTGTTTGTTTGTTTGTTTGTGGTGGGCTTGGCTTGGCTCGTCCCCAAGTGTGGCCCCCGCAGACAGCTTAGAACTAAATTAAAACCGAATCCTCATCTCATCGTATCCACAGAGTCTAAAAAAACAAAACCTATGCTTCAAAAATATCGAAAATCAAAACTCTAGGACTATGCGACCTTTGCTTATATAGAACACCGATTTACGGCAAGACATATACACACACATGTACACATACACACTCAACACCATCCAGTTGACACATGTGTGTGTGTATATATGTATGTATATACGGGTGTTTATTCAATGTTTACGCAGACGTTTTAAAAACGATGCACGCTTCTACATTCTTAGACCAAAAAAAATTATGCTTAACTCATGTGTGAGTGTGTGGGCGTCGCATTCCAAAATTGTAGGCGCGATGCAAAATTACAAACATGAAACATGAGAGAATTAATAGACCGGACCAAACCGATTGACCTAGACCAGCGATATGGTCACATTGATCCCCAGATTCCCATTGTCGGCAAATAGCTGGGCAATCGATGTGTCGAACACCAGACAATCCGAATTGTGTATGGCTGAGGCAACACCCTCATGTATGGAACGTGGCATTGCCTCCCAGGTGAGACGACGGCGGTTGCCATTCAGCTCCAGGCGATACACGAAATTCTCGGCCTCCTTTCGAGAGCCAATCAATTGAACTATAGCAAAGAATTGCTGATGCCCATCGTATTTTTCCTGCTTCTCGAGCACCAGCATAAAATGATGACCAAAACAGGATTGCATCATAACCCAATCGACAGCGCCGGGCAGATTGATGTCGGTGGCCAGAAAGACAATATCTTCGCCCTGCAACGTTGTGATGCTCTTGTGTGACATCATCAAGTGCTGCATGACTAGGTCGAGCGGTCCTTGCCATTTGCAGGAGGCGCCTGGACAGGGGCACAAATATGGACGACACTCGCATGTCTCCTCATGCTCCGTTTTCTCCGTGTAGACCAGCGAGGCGGTGCATCCATAGCCCGAATGCTTGCACGGAAACTTCACATTGGAGGCCACCTTCTCCATGGCCAGATTGCGTATATTTGCCAATGGTCCGCGACATGTGGGGCAGCAGGTGAGCTTCGAGCGGCACGATACACAGACCAAATGGCCACTCGAGCATTGGAGGATCGGCGGCAGCACATAGTCGAAGCACACGGGGCATTCGAAAAGAGAGGTCAGGTCGGCGGACATGCCCGCATCACCGCCACCGGCGGACGACAGCGAGGAGCTGGACGAGGAGGATGTGTTGGCCGACGATGTGTTGCCGGCGCTGGAGCCGGTCGAGCTGCTCGTATTGGTGGCGACTGCCGTCGGTGCTGCTGTCGGTTCACGGCGTTTCGGATTTATTTTATTGGACATTGGAGTTGCTGTTATTGTGCTGCTTCTTCCTTTGTGTTGTTGCTGTTGGACAATGCGGCTGCAGCAACCCTAAGCCGTCTTGCACCTCCACCTCTGCCAATCTCTGGAGTTGTAGTTTCTATACGGTCTGTCGGGTCTTCCCTTCTCTAAGCGGCAGGCCAAACTACCCTGAATTGTTTACCTGCCCTTTTTTTTACGTATGTGTCACTGTAAACAAAATGTGTCACATTATTAAAAGTTTTTATTGAAATTATTAGATAGCAAAGCGATAGCAAAGAAAGAAATACCATGGACGACAAAGGCAGTAAACTTTGAAGCAAAAAAAAAAACCAATACAGATACATTTTGGCTGTGTTTGTGGGAAGAGCAATTACATAAAGAAAAAAAAAAACAAATTGCAGAATAAACGGAAGCCAACCGATGGAAATGATAACTAAAATAACTAACAACTTCTTTTCATTTAATTTGATATCGCTTTTTCAATTTATACACAAATTTTATTTATGTTGTGATTTACGTTTTAATAGTAAATTTTGCCATTACTTTTGTTCTGACAGTTTTAGCTTTTCTTTATAAGACGTACATACATAAGTAGTATTTCTACAAATGATTAAAATTACATATATCCGATTCATCTATAGTGTGATGACGATCATAAAAAAACAACTTACAACTTTATACCTTTTATTAATATTTGGTATTTTCCATCAGATAATTTAAACCCATTAGAAACTTATTTATAATCAAACTAAATCACTTACTGAAATGCCTCTGCCGCTTGTTTGATTATTCTTCGGATTGTGGAATATTCATATGTATTTAAAATGTTACATAAGATTAATTGAATTAGGAATGTTGTTTCGTGCGGAATTTTGTAGGCCAGTCAATGTGGACATGGGGTTCAGGTTGGTATGGTCGAGGACTATTATCAACTGTTATAGATAGATAGTTAGCCATGGTTCATGGGATTTACTATTGAATATTGGCAAAACATCAAATTAAATGCACGTAATTAATCATGTCTAACCTTAACCTTGCACGGAAGTAGTAGTAATTGCCTAAATGTCAAACAACAAATTGTGTAGCGTCTAGCAATAATTGAGTTGAGTTAAATCTATTGATTTCAGCTTAGTCAGCTCTCGGGGAATTGCTAACCAAGCTCCATTGAACTTCGCTTGGCCACCAGCAGGCAAATATCAATGTGTTGACTGGGCCTTATCAAAGCATGGACACATGCGTGCCCATTACATCGGCACACACATGTCCATATCTATATACACATACACACACACACATGTAACTGAAGGGTGGGGACTATGGTTCTAATGGTGAGATAGTGGGTGCATTAACATCAACAATGACGACGACGACGCTTCGCTAACTTGGGTTGGGTGCATTGCAGGTCCACATGCATGTGTGTGGGTGCTTCTCGGCCAGCTTGTGTCCATATGTATGTATGCATATACATGCATACACATACACATACATACATGTGTGTCTCTCTGTGTATGTGTTGAGTGCAATGTAAGCGCGTATCCAATGCAACAAAACCGTCGTATGGAACACGATAAGCAACAACAAAAAGTAAATAAGGGGAAAAGTCAGCGGCAAATAATTAACAGTTCGTTTGCGCCGCTGGCCGCACCAACAATAATTTCCATACGTTAAACAGCCAATGCGATGAAGAGACTGAGCTGGGCTTGTCGCTTACTGGGGGTAATTACTGCAGCAAACCATGAATGCGATTTACTTCACATTTACAATGAGTTGCGAAACAGAACAGAAAAGATTTTGGCAACAACATAAACCGGAGGAAAAAAAACAATAAAGCTCAGCCAGCTAAATAAAAATAATTGTTAGGGCACATTTGTACATATGTATGTACATACATACATACTTACAGATCTGGATTGGCGGCTTGAGACTTAGTTTATCAGTCAATCAGCCTTTATGGCTACGCTGCCACATACATACGGGCATACATACATATGTATGCATATATGTATATCCTTAGCAACTATACCGTCCCGTTTTTTACTACAAATCAATGCAGGTGGTTTTTAGAGCACTGCGGCGTACAGGAAAAGCGCACACACAAAGAGAAAATTCAAATCTATTTGTTTTTTAACTTTTGCGTTGCCTTTTTGTTCACCTTACACCAAACTTGAAACTCAGGCGTGCGCTAATTTCATTTTACTTTTATCTAAGTTTTTTTTATATATGTATGCATGCGCTTGCACACACAAATTCATTGAATATTTTCTATTGGTGGTGCTGCTGCTGTTTTTGTTGTTGTTTTTGCGTGAATCTCATCTGTTTTGGTGCGTCCGTCTCGGACAACTTATGTATGCACATACATACATATAATTTTTTGTATTGGCTTTATTAGCGCTGCTGCGTTTATTGCACAAACACTTGCTCGTTTTCAGTCTTATTCGGCGTAATTTTCACAACACTTTAGCAATTAGACAGTTTGGAAAGTTTTTAAACTTCAACACACGCATTTATTGCAGAAATTTTGTATATTTTACTAAGTTTAACTAAAAAGAGATTAATTCTCAATAGACCACAATTCTGTTGGCAGCACAAAATCAGACTAAAGTTGGCAGCTCCGTGCGGAAGCTACGGCTCGTTATATCAGCACTGCCAAGCAATGTTGGTAAACACCGCTGGGCGCAAAACGGAAATATTTTTAAACTTGTGTGTGTGTGTAATGCGAACTAGATAGATTTCATTGAAAGCCCTACACAGTGACTACTTATTTAAAAATACGATCATTTGTCGCACTTAGGAGAAACTCTATAACGTCTCTGACCGCATTTGCCTGTGTATCGGGGCATAGCTGGCCGTATGTAGACATTATTTTCAGGAACCGCAAAAAAAGAATGCTCATGAATCATAATTCTGTAATTTTTCTAATAACATTTACATATGTATAATGATTACAGTCCCTGAATATTTAACATTTATTTTTGAGGCTTTTTTATCTTTTAACTTGAAATTATAACATACGCTTATTGTAAATATTAATTAAAATCTTTATCGACCACCCCAACTTGATGATGTAATAATTATAATATAATTGTAATAAACAATAATTTCTTTTTGTATCGTTACAGAGGGTTACCTAACATCTTGCACCTTCGACTATTTGACCGATAATTTTGACACCCGTCTCTTTGTGGGCACAATATTCTTCTTCAGCTTCGTATGCCCCACCATGCTAATAATCTACTACTACAGTCAAATTGTGGGCCATGTTTTCAGCCATGAGAAGGCACTTCGCGATCAGGCTAAGAAAATGAACGTCGAGTCATTGCGTTCAAACGTAGACAAGAGCAAGGAAACGGCAGAGATTCGTATTGCCAAGGCAGCTATCACTATATGCTTCCTCTTCTTCGTATCCTGGACTCCGTATGGTGTCATGTCTCTCATCGGAGCATTCGGCGATAAAAGTTTGCTTACTCCGGGTGTTACGATGATACCAGCATGTACTTGCAAAATGGTCGCCTGTATTGACCCATTCGTCTATGCTATAAGTCACCCTAGATACCGCCTGGAGCTTCAAAAGCGTTGCCCCTGGCTGGCCATTAATGAGAAGGCCCCAGAGGCGTCATCCGTCGCGTCGACCACAACCCAACAGGAGCAGCAACAAACAACGGCAGCATAGGCGGTTCCTATCACAGATGTCGACCATGAGCTCTATACTGATTTTGGCCAATGTTGAAACCTTCACACGAACTTGAACTACAAATCGCTTACTTATCAGATGGACTGATTTTGGAACTAGCCGAACTCGTAATATAATTGCAAGCTGAATCTTATAAAAGACACAACAAAAAATAACGTGTGCAAACATACAATACTTTACTTTTATTATTTGTAGTAAAAACTTTTTCGTTTTCAAGAAAATATAGTAATTTATTGCAAATTAAAAAACATTCTGGATTTTTCATTCCTATGTATATACTTGTATGTATCTCTACTGGCTCAATTATTATAATCCCATTCTAATAACCCATTATTGTGTATAAAAATGTATTACTGTCAAGAACCATGCCAAAGCTGACGATCAAATGTGTAATATTTGGTCATTAATTCTATCCTTAATATAGTAGAAGCTTAAAACTCATGCGATCAAAGAACGAAACATAACACTAAAAAAAAGTACTACTGGTTCTGTCAGATCCTGTTTTTTTTTGGAACCATTTTATAAAATAAGCGGTTCTCCACCACACCAGTTTACACTGACCTACTGCGTGAAAACAAATGTAATCCAAATATCGATGATGAAGTAATACTTTTCGAAAGAGCAACCATTGCCGGTCTTGCCCCACTCCTAGAATCTATTGAGTCAGTAGTGAAATACTTGTAAGACAATCAAATGTGGCCGTTACCCGTACTGGTATGCACCATCGTCATTTTATGGTAGACTGTTACAATAAGGAGACAATCAAATATTATTATTTAGAAATTACAACGCAACAAGTCTGATCCTTGTCAACCCTTTAACCAAAGTGACTGGATGACCAATCACCAATTAATGTTCGTTCCTTACATTAGAAGGAGTAGGGTTTGGAACTCAGACAGCAAATTTGTTTAAAGGCGAATTGTGTAGAAATTTGAGTTGAATTCAAAGGTGGAACTTGAGATTTGGAGGAAGTTTTGTAAACTGGATTCCAAGATATCTTTGAAATGAAGGAATATACGCATGGACAAAATTATTCATGGCCATAATAAAACCCCTCTTCACAATTAATAATTTAGGTTAGTGTACCAAGATTAATTTTAACATAGTAATCCATTTATTCGTATTGGGTAAAGTCTTGGAATTACCCATGAAATCATAGAGTCTTAATATTTATCTAACAATGAAAATGAAGCACCACCTTAAACGAAGAGTCCTCAGAACTCTCAGTTGGACTGTAGAAGTGAGTGCAATTTGATGACGGCGCGATAATCATTATGCGACAGTTGACCCTGTTGCGACCTCTCCATTACACGCCGCAGTCGCTCTAGTGTGTCTGGATTGGTAGTCATCTTGAATAAGTCGTCTAAATATTTGAGTGATTCGCGCGACCAAAACATTGACGGTTTCCTAGCATCCAAATTAATGGCGGTGTTGTGTGACGCTGTGGTTTCCATCTGGTCAAGCAATTTAAAGCACTCTGGTTGCATCTTGCTGTGTAGCTTAAGATTAGCACGGGCACGCTGCAACGGGTCGTTGAAAGGCGGTGGCTGCTTGAAAGCTTGGGCGCGTTTAGCCAAGTTTACAGTGGGCTGCTGTAGTTCTTTTTGTTGTTGCGGAGGTGGTTGAGGTGGTGTCGGTCTTGCATATGGCATTTGACGTTGCTTGGATGGGCGTGGCGTACCAACGATTGTGCGATTTCTATTTATGTTACAGTTGCTATTGTTGCTCGATAAATCCTGCGAAAGCGAAATAACTGGTGGTGGTGGCGGCTGTGGAGATGGCTCTCGCCTTTCTGCTGGCTGTCTGCCCAACAACACCGGATCTATGTCCATTTGTTGAAGACGATTTTTCAGTCCCAGCTTGCCATAAGTGGCTAGCAGCCCCTCATAGTTATTATGAGGATATGCGGTAAATATCATACGCCAATGATCTTCGATTTCATTGCGCAAGGCGGGCGTCGCATTATCATCGGGCGATTGATCCAAGAGGCGTTTTAATATGAGCAGCAGCTGATCCAAGTGCGTGTCGCCGTTGCGTAGACCCGCCTGTCCTAGTAGAATCATATTCAACAGACGCCGGTTGCGTTCGGCCTGCTTGAATCCATTCTTCGTATTCATTCCATCCAGTTCTTTGATGCGCTCGTATATGTTCTGAGCATTCCCTATATAACTGGACAAACTGTTGATACCATCACGTAGAAATTTAATAAGTACATCTATGCGTTTTGGCGGCTTTTGGCTCTGGAATTCGGTTGTTTTGCGCTTCACATCCTGATGGCGATGCAAGAGCTTCAATTGCAAGCTCTCTTGATTCTTTTTTAATCCGAAAATAACAAGAACATAGCCGTATTCTTTAAAATCCATGCGTACCTGCACATCGCATTGTTTGGCCGCATTGCTGAGAAATTCCCTTCCTTCCGGACTGAATAAATACTCAATTTGTTCGCGTGACATGAGTATTTTGGCTTCCGTTGGCACATCAGGCATCAAGCAGATGCTAGCTTCGGTGGACTCTTTGGGTGTTTTACTATTTCCAGCTGATCGTTTGTTATTGACGCACATGGAGATGCCCGTATTTTTCTGGCCGTGATGGTTGTTGTTTGTGTTGTTCGCATATTCGGCCGACATATCATCATCATCATCATTGCCTATAGGTATCATGTCGGGCAAGGCTTCCATTGGTCGAGATTTACCAGACGCTGATGATGATGCTGGAGCAGAAATCGTTTTAGCGCTACACTCCCTGGACAATGAAGTGGACACTTCAAAATGATCAGAGAAACTATAATTGGAATCAGAGTCTATGTCGTGAGCGGAAGCAATGGGTTTGTTTGTTGTTCCGTCGATTTGGGTGGGCTTAGAAGATATGACTTTGGTAGGCGGAGCCGGAGAATTGCTTTTAGTCGCCTTTTGTTCTACAAATGTACCCGATTCCATCAATGTTGTAGAAGCTGGCACCTTTTTAGTAGCACTTTTAGTCGACGGCACCTCTTTAGGTATCACAGTCGGGGTTTTCTTTTCAACTGTCCGTGCCGCCTCCTTGGCCAGCGGGTTAGGAACATAATCCTTAATGCATTTCTTATGTTGCAGGGTCAGCACCTCCGCCTTTCGTTTATTATTTAATGTATGTCCAAGGCCCACGGCCCGTAGAAAGCGCCAATAATAACTGTTGCTCTTAATTTCTAAGCTCCAGGCAAAATGAAAAGGTGTGATTCGAGCAGACAAGAACGAATTGGGAGTGGTTGGAACATCAAAGATGCCGCTGCGGTCCTTGTACGATTTCTGATGTGATACAATGCTGCTGGTGAAATTCGTATTGCGAAATTCGCCGTATCTTGAACGGCAAGTCTCGAATAGATGACCACGTGCCCCGCAGTTACTGCAATGCTTCGTCCTGTACTGCACTTTGCTCTCGAGCGCTACATTTTGACGAATCTGTTGAATTAAAAATGGTATGATTATGAGTAGAAAGATAGAAAATTGGTCAAATCAAATTTTAATCAAATGAATTATGGTGTGATATGCATATACTTAATTATTCCATGACATTTGATATATGTATATACCCTTTACTCGAAAGACTCTAATACCATAACCCTTTTATGACTTTATGGCCGTTTCTTTAGTTGGTTTTTATTTATTTACAATTGACTGCCTCCAATCTTTGTGAGACCTTTTCGCTTGCCTTCAAGTTATTGTTAGGTTTTTTTTAATATGTTAATGCTACAAAATTTGTATGACTTATCGAATTTGGTACCAGCTTACCGTGCTATGATAGCGACGCCATTTGTCGGGGCAAATGTCGGTGGGGTGGCCGCGCATCTTGCATAGTTGACACACAATGCGACTATGGAATGAACATTTGTTGCATTTTTGCACATAGAACGTTTGCTTGGAGCCACACTGTAATCACACACAAGATTGTGGGTGAGCAATTTAGGACACTATAGTGCCTCAGCACAAATCTTACCCCCAGGCAAATGGCATTGGGGCAACGGGGCTCCGCATGACCTATATTGCCGCACATGCTGCAAACTGTTGGTCTACGTGGACGCGGGCACTTGGCGCGTATGTGACCCATCTCAGAGCAGTTGTTGCACTTCATTTTGGAACGGTGTTGATTGACGGGATAGCGATCTTCGGTATTAATCCTCCAGTGTTGTCTTGATTCTAAGATTTATCAAAAATAAATGTTAGTTTGAATGAACTTATCAGTGGACTAATAATTATTTACGATTCATGGTCCTTAGTATTTTCTGCACATTAAAATTTTCCCCATTCCAGCTTTTGTCGTAGAAGCGACACATTTCGTCATTCCAGCCAACCAAATCACGGCCATTAATTTCTACTATGTCCTCTAGTTCCTTGAGGGACTGCGGCTGCTGCTTTGTTTCAGCATTGTCATATAAATTATCAGGTGCTACGCATTCAATAGCTTCATCGCTTTCGATCACCTCCACTGACTCATCACTGCTATTAACCATCTCAACAGACTGTTCTACCACTTCGCTTGACTCAACAACATCACGTCCTTGGAGCGCTGCCTCTTGCCGTCGTGTAACCTCGCGGGTATGAGCATCGATGCGCTCAAAAGCGGCAGTAATGCGGTCAGTAATCGCGTCTCGTATCTCCTGTTCGTCTCCCGTTTCTGACCCGGAGCCCATTGAATCTGCATCTATAACATTCTTAGGTGACTGAGATTGTGGCTGTTTGGTTTTCTGTTGCTCTTGCTTTAGGGAACGCTCAGCTATATCGCGAGCAGTGGGCAGCGCTTCTTCAGATCCGGATTCGGAGCTAGTGTCGTCAATTCGTTCAGCGCGACTAGGTCGTTGTTTTTGCTTTTTAACTGTCGATGTTACGGCAGTTTCCGAAGTACGTCGCAACCCACGTATCTTGCGCTTGCAACGTTCCACAGCCATACCACGAGCAATCCCTGGAACTGCAGTTACATGCACACCACCATCATCACTATCTGTCTCAAAGCCACTATTATTATCGTTATTGTTGTCGTCGTTATTCGGTTCCGATTGACTTTGATTGGTGCTTGAGGAACGGCGCTTACGCAAACGTTTTGTTTTATTGAGTATCGGTTCCACCAATTCTTCTACATCGGTGTCGTCCGATGGGGAGTCTACACTACGTATAATGGTTGGCTTCTGTCTGCCCTTGGAGTAAATACCACTCTCTGTAATATCGGATTCACTCTCGTATACATCCAAGGCACGAAACTGTTGACCTTCGTCAACGCGAAAATTTTTCTTTATTTCTTCTAGTCGTGAGGGCGGAACAAATTCTTCCGATGAATTATCATCGATCTGCTGCACGTTTTCCAAATTTTCCGCATTAACATCTTCTTTTTCTCTCATAGCATTTTCGGTCAGCATTAATAAATCTTCATCCGTAGCTCTTGCCTGGTCGGCCAGTAGGCGACTTTTATCTTTGGGCACGATGAAATCGTCGCTGGACATCACTGAGTTGCAAGGCGAGTTAAGTGGCTGGGCTGCTGCTGTTTGCTCAGCGCTCACATCACACACAAGTCCTAACTGCACATCCGTCGCATCCATGGCATTCTCTTCAATGTAGGGCTGCGATGGTTTTGCCGTTTGATCTTCACTATCGCTGGCATCCACGTCAATAATCGGGGGTGGCGACAAAGGTACATGAACCACATCATCATCGTCGTCGTCGTTGCCATCATTAACATCGCTTTCGCTGTCTGCCAAGTTCACAATCTCCACAGGTTTCTGTTGCTGTTGTTTTTGTTGGTCTTTTTTGAGGCGCGCCTGTTTGGATTTTATTTTCTTCTGAGCTATACGTTGGAGTTGCTCGAGCTTCCGACTTTCTTTGCCAAAGGGTCCCGAAACTGGGCCTTCACGTTTGACGCGTCTCGGCGGACTTCCTGGTGGTATGGCAATTAATAGTCTTTGGTCAAAGCGCTCTGGTTCTTCTAAGTTTTTCTTTAGAATGGTGCAAGAGGCTGGAGGTTTTGTGGTTTGCCGCGGTTTAGATTTTTGTACTATCTGCTGTTGTTGTTTTTTCTGTTGCTGCTGTTTCTTCACTTGTTGAAACTGTTGCCACTGCTGCTGAGTCTTTGTGTTGTTTGTTTCATTTTTAGGAATATTACTGACTGCTTGTTTGGTCTTTGGACTTTTTGCTGGAATTTTAACAGCCGGAGGCGGAGGCATTGACTTATTTACGTTCTCCACACTAATTGTTGCATCATCTTTGGTGGTGGTATCTGCAGCAGCGGCCATTGCTATAATCGAAAACAATAAAGAACATTTTAAAGATAGGGCATAATTTATTTCACTTATTTGAAGGCAATACTACATATATAAAAACAGTAATTTGCATAATTTCGAATACCATTAAATTTTTATAGGGACTCAAGTTCAGTACCAATTTGGATTAAGTAAACTCCTAAACACATCGTTTGTAACATCATTGAGTTCAACCCGACTTAAGCCATAGCCGAGAGAATCGATCAACTCTAAATTTAGCTCATCTATGTTATAGAGCACATACGGTTCCAATTCAAGGTCTGTTTGATTGGGCCATAGGAGAACATGAGTTGCCGCTCGAAACTCGTCGATAGTCTTTCTGATGAGCTGCTGAGCCCGATGCAGGTCATCAACCATATTACTATCCCCATCGGCATAGCGATGCTGCAACTGCAGAGCCAGCTCTAGCTTATGCACCATACGCATGAATATGTAACGTCTGTATTGGAGCTCAAAATAGATTCGGGGTTTCTCGAAATGGCTTAATTTTCGCCGAACGAGTGCGGATAATATAGTTACGTCTATACATGACAACACCACATGCACTGATGCTAGCAGCACAATCATCGTTAGCAGAAATTCGCATATGTGTTCTCTGATCTCATGCTGCCAATACATCAAGTCCCGATCATGGCGGGCCCAGTTGTAATCCAGCACAGCGATCAGGCACATTAAATTAAATACGACTAAAATAACAAATTCGTTGCTTAGTCGACTGCAACACCTGTACAGTATGCGCTGGATGCAGTGCACCACGAAAAGCAACGGGCGCCACACCAGTGTCATGGTTACTTGTTAGCAAATTTTAGAAAATTATGAAATTTTGATGTCACGCCAATAATTGGAAACAGTTTAAAAAGCAAAAGCTCGCCTGCTCGTATTCAAAGTTTCGACTCACCTGTATCTGAACCTGTAGCACTCTTGGTATTGTTGCTATTTGTCGGAGTCGTGTTTTCAACCCAATAGCGTCCCTTCTGTTGTCCCACTGGCTTATTGACCACACGTGTTTCGGTCACAGTGCGTCCTATTATTTGTGGCATTGGTGGTGGCATATTTTGAGTATCTACGTCCATTTTATTGTTTGAAACGTCATTGTAGTGTATATTGGCATATAACAGTGACTCCAGCTCCTGAAAGCTTTCGCTGTCTAATTCTTCAATCTGAAAATAAACGCGTTTAAAAACGCATACACATGGCCTCTATTTGACTTACATCGCTCATCGTCTGACTTGTTGGGTTTGGCGCAACGTCATCAGCTTTTTTGTTTTCTATTGCAAAATGATGTTATTATTTTACAGATTAGAAAACAATTACAATTGCAATTGTATACTATAAAAGCACGTTCTGTCACCGAGGGCAGGGTTGCAAAAAACATCGATTATTTTAACATCGTCAATACTTTGGAGATTGGTACTCGATTTTATTTAATGCATTAAGACTACAATACATCGATGTTTTCGTGAAGATCATCGATGATTTTCAACATTAAAATAAAATATTCTTATTTATTGTGATTGTGTTGGCCATAGTATTGCCTTTCTTTTAACGACTAGAAGTCGAGAAAATAAATGTTTTTATTAACATAGATATTCATGTATATATTCTGAAAAGAGGATTATAAATTTACAAGTAACTGTTAAATAAGTATTGCATTTATTTAAACTCTATAAAGTTGTTTGATACAAATGCAATCTTGTTAGAATATTTGTGCACAATTGATATTATGAGGTAGCCAGCCCTCTTTGCTGTTTAAAATCCGATTATATTTAAAGTAAAATTCAAGCAAAAAATGGAACGACTACTTTCGACATGTTTTTTTGTTGGAATTTCTTGAACCGTTGTTCCGTGGAAATGAAACCAACGCGTTTTTTTATTTTAAGGATTTTTCATGATTAATAGACCATATTTCAAAAATGGAATCAATAAATGTTTTTGAAAATATCTAAATGATTAGGATGTGTTTGAAGATGCGTCGGTGCATCTGTAATTTGATGATTTTAGCCATATCTCACATTCCGCAATCCTATTCATTTAGTATATCGCGCACCTCGACACCTCCTGAACATGTCAATATTATCAAAAACATTTCAATGAAATTTAAAATATATGTTCCTTGCCAATATTGCAAAAGGGTGTTGCCAGACTGTTTGACAGCATATTTGAATGGCACATTAGAACAAGTGGAAAGAAGAAGCAGTCCATTTTGCAGCCGGGGCCACGTACAATTTGTTAAATGTGAGATTGAACCAATATTAATGTAAATAAGCGCTAAATGAATACATCTTTGTCATTTGCAGCATGGAGACCATGCAGCGTTATGTTTCACCAGTCAATCCCGCGGTATTCCCCCATTTGGCTACTGTGTTACTCATCATCGGCACATTCTTTACGGCCTGGTTTTTCATTTTCGTCGTCTCTCGCAACAAACAGTCTAAGGAAAGTACACTAATCAAGGAGTTGCTGATTAGTTTGTGTGCCTCGATATTTTTAGGATTTGGCATTCTGTTTCTGCTGCTGACCGTAGGCATTTATGTATAGTAACTATTTTGTATTAAGACCAACCATTCCTCAGTTGAAGATCATTAATAAAGTGTGGGCGTTGTGAGTGAACGTATGGTATATCTATATATTTATTTAAAATTTTGCAGATTCAGTAGATTGCTTAAAACAATGCCGAATATATTAACTCGTTAACATAGAACTTTTAGCATGTGAATAGATTATACATATGTATACATGTATGCACTGCATTCTAGAGTAAGTTGAAATAATAACTGTGACAGTGTGAGTCGGCTTAAGATGTACCTGGACCAACCACTAACCAGCCAGACCAGCCTTTTGTCTACATTTCTGCATAGTGGCGCGCAAGATGAACTGTTTCCTCGAAAGTGTTCGTACATGCTTCAAAAATGCCTCAAGATCGATGACACCACCGCGTAATCCTTCTCCCAGATAGTAGATGGCGTCCTCCGTGGCTGCCTCATCGGCATAAGCATTGAGTAATCTATAGAGCAACATGCGTGATAGCTTGATCTAATAAACGAGGAAAAGTACTTACTGTCGGTACAGCGGTGCTGTTGTGGTCACAGCCTCATCTGGATCAATGGCCTCGGCATTCTCGAGAGCATCTAGACTTTTTTGCAATTCTTGCTCCTTATCATGCAATATGCTTATATTCTTTTTCAGTTCTACCTCTTCGCGCTGCAGTCGCGATATAATGGCATCAATTTTGGCGCTTCCCTCCACCAATTCCTGTTTAGTGCGATTCAACGTATCGATCTCGGCCTGGTACTGATTTACCTTCTCCTGTATGCGACGGCGTAGTTTGTCCTCTACTGCGCTTATAAGTGAAGCTTTGATGTGTTCCTCAGTGATGGTTCCTGTTGAACTGGCATTGCTGGTAGCTGGATTATAGCCTCCACTACCACCATAGGCACCACCCGGTTGTGGAAAATTCATGTACGGTGGATAGCCGCTGGCATTGGGCGCACCACCTGCACCGCCAGCTGGCGGATATGGGGGATATGGTCCAAAATTGCTGCTTGTCGGATACGGTGGAAAATTACTACCAGCACCACCACCGCCACCAGTAGGATAGGGCAGATATGAGTTGCCTGACCCAGGTCCGCCTGGCTGAGGCATAAAAGCTGCGAGAAACGATTTAAAATAAAATGTTAAATATATTCGTTCATGTAGTTACAATTCGTTGGATAGGGCGCAGCCACTTGTTCCTTGGGCTTTGAATAAACAGGCGGATGGTCGCCGAATGTCAAAATCATAACTTGAATTAGCGAGAGCAGATCAGACGTGTGTGGTTGCCAATCGTGCAAATATGGTAAATAGACCTTGCCATTGTGATCCACATACATGGATACTTTGATCTGCATTGTAGGCGTCGGCTGTACAAAACACATGGGGGCATTCTGTGGATGCGTATCCATCAGCCAAATACATATTGGAATGTAGTAGGTGTTGCCTGGATTAATAAGAAAGTAGAGCTCTAGATAAGATACGATTAAGCCATAAATTATTTGGGCATTTACATACTTTTATAGACCACCGGAATGGTACCGTGCAATTTAAACAATTCTTTAGAACTGCCATCGTTGAAAACTGCAAAAAAATTCGGATGCTGTTATCAGACGAACTGCTGTGTTGTTGTTTTTGCAAAAGCTGGCAGCATCACTTACCAAATTTTTGTAGAGTATATGTCAGGCTGCGATAGGAGGAGACCACATCAACGACGTCTTTTCGTGTGGCACCCACATTTTTATACTATGCGAAATGCCAAGAGAACCAATTAATCATTAATTGCGTATATTGCGTGACGGCACACGACTAAACATTCTAGTTCGCCATCCTTCCTGTCAAATGACTCATGCTTAAAGCACTTACCTTGGCTAGTAATTTTGTGATTTGTGCTTCCTCGACCACAGGCATTCTGATGCTCTAATAAAAATCTTATACAGCCGCTGCACCGATGCTTTTATCTGTTTTTCGTAAAGTCTTAAAATATAATTCTCTATGAAAACAAAGTCGTAAAACAAGTACGAGTACTTCTGGTATGCAAGTATCGAAGACGTTCGACTGACACGCACTATATCGATAACAGCAGCTATCGTCGTTGAAGGAGCAAAGTTATCACCCGATACATTTGAAACAATTTTGATTACAAAAAATAAACAGTTTATTTAAATTTTCTAGAGTTGTATACAAAATTGAACTGCAATTGTTACACTTTTTCGGTACATAAGTACAAAGAAAATGATGCAATGGTAGTGTTTCAGGTTAGCAGATGTCAGCGATTTGTATTTCAGAGTTGGGTCGGAATTGTGCTTGTGGACTGATGAGTGGTTGTGATTGGCTGGTTGTTTACCGTAGTTACATTGTCTTATGCATTTTATGGTTGTGTGTGCGATGTCTGTAAGCAAAATAGAAAACAGAAATATGATATGTTATATTTTGCCATAAAAAAACTTGAGTTTATTTGCTTCTTAAATATAACTTTATTTGAATACTTTTACTTTTCTCTCTCTTTTTTTCTTTCTCATCCTTTTTAGGCATTTTCCACCTATGTATGTATGTGTGTTCTTTGTGTCCGTATTTTGTGTGTGTGTGTGTGTATGTACTTAAGCCAATGTTCAGTTAACTTTATGCATTACTAGCTGCTAGTTTTACAAATAGTTTATATATTGTTCGTTTAAAATATGTCATTATTGATATATAAATATGTATTTTCGCATTATTAGTTTGCTATAAAAAGTCGTCATCGCTCATTATCAATCCATTATCATCTCACTACGTTTCGCCTTATGGTGGTTATAGATTATTAAATTGTGGATTACACATATAAAAATATTTTTCATTTTCATTTTGCGTTCATTTACAACGCTACATGTGTGGATGTTTGACATACGTATGTGTGCGTGTATGTATGTATGTATGCATGTATTGAGAGCGGTACGTCTACGGGTTGTACACTTACTACTAAAAACCATTAAATAGTTTTTGATCTTGTTCAAATTAAATACATTATATTAAATCGTTTTTTAGAATACAAAATGTTGTTTTTGCTGCATCAAGACATGCATACAAAAGATTGTTCTTTGTCTTGTGTCCTGCATTTACATATGTATATATTGCTTGAATTATGCCGCAAGAGTAATCAACCAACCAATCAATATGATGTAAATAGTTATTAACAAGTTTTAGTGCACAGAGGGGTGGACAAGTGAAAGCAAAAGTCAAAGTAAAAAAGTTAGTCATAAATTTAAGTTCTATTTTCGCTTTTCTTTTTTTTTTTTTTTTGGCACATTGCTGCATTCGTTGCCGTTAATTGAAATAAATACATATACATACAGCAAGTAATAAATGCTATTAAATAATTGCGAACAACAACGAGTGAAGCATTTTTTGTTGGTGATTTACATACATAAAATAATAATACAGTATTTGTTTGAATTGAACACAGCGGAAATGATTTATGCATAGCGTGGGAAAGCGCGAAGTGTTCTTGATTTCATTTTGGGTTTAGAATATATTGTTGCTTTTCTTCTTCTTTGCTTTTTCGTTTTTCATTTGTATTTGCTTTATTTTTAATGTAGAAAAAATTTGTTCTAAAATTCTCAGTCTATTGTGCAAAATCTACTTGCATTTCATAACGTAAATTTTCTCGTTTTCCAATTTTTTTCGTTCCCATTTGTTTTTTTTTTTAATATATGTATATAGGTTCTTGTTTGTTAGTTTCATTTCGGTATAATATATATCCTTTATTACTTATAAAATTCCCTAATATGCATTTATATCTGTGTATGTGGTATTTATTTATATATATATATATATATATATATATATATATATATATATAGATATATATATATATATATATATATATATATATATATATATATATATATATATATATATATATATATATATATGTATATATATATATATATATATATATATATATATATATATATATATATGTGTGTGTTATTTGATCAATCATCGTTAATAATGTGCATAGTTTTATGTCATGATCGCTTGTCTGGTCTGTTTATTTGTCCACCTGGTGCTGAAGTACGAGCGTGTGCTAGCGCTAGTTATGTTTGCTTGTGACGATGTGTTGACATTAAATGTCATTATTCAGATACAAAATCATATGCTCCAGCATATGGAGAACATTATACACATCACACACATACACACCAGCATCATTGTCGTGTTGTGGTACTAGAAAAGACTATTGCTACTACATACATATACATATATCTACTATACATCTGCTACATCGCACGTATGTCGACTGAGCCACAGATCCGATCCGATCTGATTACTCAGTGAGCAGTTGTTTTAGTTAACTTAAGTTAGCTTTGTGTACGCATAAGCACAGATCACGCCCACCACAACACCCGCCGCAATATATTTGATTAATGACCTTCGTTTTTTCGCCGCCTGTTGATTGTCTTCGTTTTCCCTTTGCTTCCGTTTGATATCGTTGACTTTCTGTTCCAAATTCGCTTGGTACTCGGTGCGTTTTCGACGCTTCAGTTCATTGTCGGGACTGTAAATTCAATAAGAATAGTTAATTCCGGCTCGATATATAACAGTAAACGTATTTTGTAATTATCATACCTTGCTGGATTGTGTGGCGCATCAATGCCATTGGTCTTGCACAATTGCTCGTGTTGTTCTGATGCCTTCTCATTATTGGCATTTACATCGTCATCTGTGTTGGACAATAAAGTGCAGTTTGAATCCTTGGCGTTATCGGCGTTAATATTTTTGAACGCCTCATCAGTATCCTCGTCTTCATCGTCATCCTCAATATCATCCATATCGTAATCGTCGTCATCATTGTCGCTATCCGAACCCTGCACGTGGCTCTTCTGACCAGGAGGAAGAGGCGGCAATGGACGATCGGTTGACAAACTGTCAATAGCCTCGGCATTTACGATCTCATGACGATTTATAATATTATTTAAACCATCCTTGCTGATTAATGTAGGTGAAGCCTTGTCTCCAATATTGTCATCAACTTCACCATTGGACAGCAATGATTTATCTGCCTGCGCTGCGCGCATATTTAGGGAAAGGACACCACCGGCGCTTGGCGCCAGCGGCAGATTTAAAGAGTCCGTGCGTGGAGGCAAAGGCGGTGGCATCTCATCCTGCAGCAGTGTGTGTGTGTCCGTATCGTTGCTAAGAATTTTTTCCTCTTCGTTGAGAAAGGTCTGCAGGATTTGAGAAGAGCGAAAAATTAGTCAAAATATGGAGAAGAGTTGTGCCGGTCATATCTACTATGGACTAAAATTAAAAATAAAAAAGTAAGTTAAGAGGGAGTCCGATTGTTCTTCATACGGTTTTATATAAAATAAAGAGACTGAACTTGCTTCTCACGTGGATACATATGGGGTTTATGTATTTTTTATGTATTTAGTCTAAGAAGGACATTAAATAAAGTAGTCGCAGTGAAACCTTAAAGTTTGGTGGCTTTTATGAACATTTGCTTAAAGCAAAAAACTAGCAGGGAAATTCCCGAATCCAAATTCCAAATAAATCTTTAAATCATTTAATGTGTGGAAATTCATGGTTGCTTTTTTTTTGTTTATTGAATTCAAAAAAGGTTTGCAATTGGCGGAATGGGAACAAAGCTTTTCTTATAATACTGATCAAGCATGTTATTTGACGAACTTTATAGAACAGAATTTCGCTTACATAATTACTGGAATAAGCAGCCATTTTATTTGTTCATAGTTGAATCCTTTGGAAAAACGTGAACTCATTATTGTTTTTACTGAGCCTTTTTCGAGAAACTTGAATTTAAATATTGTTGGCTCTTATAATTACTTATTATCATAATTAATTTATAATAATATGTATCCCCTAAAATAAAATGAATCATTGAGAAGCGAATGACTCGGAAAGATAACAAATATGTTGATAGACTCTCGATTTTACTAACTTATCCACACTCGTGTTGTTACGTGATTCAAGCTATAAAAAGATCATCCATTAAATTGAAATAAACCGACACAACTCTAAAAATGGAGTGGTTGAGGCCACACCATTACAGCGGCTAGGCCTGGAACATCCAGCTTCATCACATGCCAGCCGCTCCATTTCTATACATACGGGATCTTTCAGCTTGGTAATGCCCTCGATGATGGCTTTATATGAAAAATCTAGCTGATCAGCAGTCTGGATGAGGCCCATGCGATAGCTTCGTAGCTCAATCAGCACTTCGGACACATTGCATTCCCCATATTTGTCAACGAGAACTAGGCAGCAGTCGACCAGACAAAACGTGCCCGATCGTCCAATGCCAGCGCTGCAGTGTACGACGGCGGGTCCCACATCATTGTTGAGTGCGCCCGAGGCACGCACCACTTGTAAAAACTTTAAGAATGCATCTGGCGAACTGGGCAGTCCAAAGTCCGGCCACGTAGTGTAATGGAATTGCAGCACCTCGCGACTGGTCTGCGTTTCGAGATCAGTTAACCTGTGAAGAGAGGGAGCAAATTAATATATTTAATAATACACTGAACAAAAAATTAATTAATATACCCCGTACCCGACAGGTGCGAGTGTACTAGGAAGTCTAAATGCCAAAAGTACGTAGGCGATAAGTACATGTTAGTCTTTGGACCGTTCGTCCTTATGAGCACCGAGCCATTGCAACAAGGGACTCCAAAATTAATCAGGAGACTTGTCCTTATCAATCTAAATATAGCCTCATAATTTTATATTGAACCGGTCAGTTTTACTAGAATTACATTATTGTTTATATGAAACCAACATAATCTTTAGTTTCATTCAAAAAGATATACATAAGTGCTTTATCATATATGTATGTACATATGTACGAGTATGTTTATGTATAGTTTCAATAGGACCGATTAGTAAGGAGACAGAAAGGCGGGTTCCAGGTTGACGTATAACTTCTATGAGTTTAACTTTGAATGAACTGAAATTTCTTATAATTAGCTTTTTATAGCCTGTACCCAAAGGATGCAAGGCTATACTAGTTTTGTGCGAATGAATGTAACAGGGAGCAGGAGGCGTGGCAGACCCCACAAAGTATATATATTCTTGAGTCGATATAGCCATGTCCGTCTGTACGAGCGCAAGGATCTCAGAAGGTACATTCAGTTAGTGCTAATGTGTCCGTGTGCCAAGTTTCATCATGATAGGTCAATTCTGAAGAAAGTTATAGCCATAAATAAAATCGCTGCCCATGCGCTGCCTGCAGCTCTGCCCGCAGCTCTGCTTTTGTTGTTGCTGCTTTGTGTATGTATTAAATAAATGTTCTTTATTAATTTAATTAATTAATTCAATTTGAAATATTCTGAGTATTCCTGGAACTTAATTATTCAGCAAATTCGGATGATAGCATTTGGCTTATGTACATATTTTAGCGAAAGGGGGCGAGGTTATCAGAGAACAGTTCTGGTTGTTGATTTCCCCGAACGATGAATTTCGACACATTCTAGCAGAGTTACCAAGTTTTAGAAGAAAGAAAACGGAGTTTGACGGGTAAGAGAGTAATATAAAGCCAACAAATTTAAAATAGCTCAAAAAAGCGTATTTTCTTGTTACAAAATAGGCTTAGAAAAATGTATTTTCCAATAGGTGCTCAAGCGGTCAATCTGCGCTATTTTTGTATGCTGAGCAACAAATAGACACAGCGCTGCTGCGATTGGCCTCACGGGCCAGCAACAAAACCAATTTTGTTTTTCAGCAGAAACGCGCCAATAGAAAGTGTGTGTTTCTTTGTAAGTGAACCATTACGGAATTTTTCATGTATTCTTTCGGCATGAATGCATTCGCACGTTTACGAATTACGCGCACTTTTGAGATACAGATAGTGGTGCCAGTGGCAAAAATTGATAAAATAATAATGATAAAGCTGCCACGTTCCCACTTCTTTTTTGTTTGTTAATAGATGCAAAAAATGAAAAAAGCTAAATGTATTTACGTAGAATGTTTAAAATAGAGCTCAGTAGCAGTGGAATAAATCAATTCATTTGCCATGTAAAGACATTTCAGAATGCGGACGGAACAGTCACAGAGGAAATTGCGGAAGGAAACAAACATATTTCAGAATGAAAACGCCTACATAAATACATATATTTATAAGCATTCCACACCAAACTGGGTAGACCCCTATCATTCGCTCAAAAACGTAGAAGGCAAGTTAATGATACGGGAAAACATCCAGGTGTAAGAGTGAAGCAAATGCTTAATAGGAAGGATTCATATGATAAGAACTAAGGAGTCTTTTAATTTGACAAACCAACATGGGACAATCATAATTACGCATAATCCAAGAATTTTAGAGAACGTGGAGACTTTAGAAAAAGTTGGAAGTGATTCATTTGAAGGGCAAACCCTTAACAAAAGGGGAATGAAATATATGGTGAAATACCCTGTATCCACTTCCGGCTCTTATTACTATGCGCCTCAAGAAGAAGAAGAAGAGCGAACTTGATGCATGCAGTTTGTGGGCATAGTATTGGAGTCAAATTGATTCGCTAATAACTTTCTTATAATTGACCGATTTGGATGAAGTTTAAAACAAAAGTAGATAATTGTATATATGTACATATGTAGATTACGTGTGGAAAGTTTTAAAATTTTGACAGTATTGACAAAATGTTATAGCGGGGAAAGAGGGGGATCAAGAAAATAAAATAAACTCGTATAGACTAGGGACTAGGAGCGTCTGCATACCAAGTTTGGTTATTGTACGTTAAGCCGTTTCAGAAATATTGACGTTCATACAGACAGACGGACCAGATTCGAATCTAGACTATAGATCGATTTCTCTCGTCACGCTGATCAATAATATATATGCTTTATGAGGTCTGAGATGCTTCCTTCTGCCTGTTACATACTTTGCACAAACCTAATATACACTTTTTACAGTACAGGGTATACAAATTTGTCGGCATATGGCCCAATCGCCAAAATGTATAAATGTATTCCTAATAAACTGGTTTTATTTTTCTAGAAAAATCAGAAGCAATTTTAATCTACTCACTTGAACCATCGGCGCACAAAGTTCTTGTAAGTTTCCAAGCGCACTAGCTCTACGGTCAGCTTGACGTCGTCCAATTTAAGGGCGTTCCCAGCCCCCATCTGATCGGGCCAATACAAGTGGCATTTGACATGTTTTTTTTCAATTAATTTATTTAGCATGAGCACGCCGCGTGAGTTCTGCTCCCAGACCATAAGCCAGAAGTGTCCCACAGTGTCCACCAGTGGACCCTGTGTCAATATATACTCTCGATTGGCATCAACCAGCTATAAATGATAAAATATCATAATGATTTTTAGCATATTGATATACTATAATATAGGAAGAACTTTTGCTCCACTCACCTTAACTAGATTGGCATTTATGTAATCAACATTTCCCCTTTTCAGCACAATGCGCGAATGATCATAGGGACTGACATCTCTATAGCGATTCAGGGGACGATTCTGTGGCCGCTCCGATTCTTGTGTTGTAAAATTCTTCTCTTTAGCTTTACGATCACAGGTTTGAGCGATATCCTAAAAAGAGCAATGTCATAAAATCATTAAATGCAAAAAAATAAACACACACACAAAGCATTGGTTTTGTGTAGGAAGAATACATTTTCTTATGACACACACAGTGGGGATTTTCTACACATCGTCGCTACTGCTTTTTATCGCTTTAGCCATCTCCACTGTACATTTTTGACAAAAAAAAAAAACCACATAACAGGAAAACATAACAGAACTTAATGAAATACACGAATAGCAAAAGTATGATGTGATTTTTTTGGAATCATAGTAAGCATTAAGTAGCCGCAAAATGTATTGGTTTTGACAGTACCATTGAAGACAGTAAATTCCGCTCTGCTCTCCATCTAAATGTCATTTCATTTCTAAATGTCATTTCCATCTAAATGTCATTTTGTATATGCTTTCATGGGATAAGAAATTCTAAGTATTACGAGTGATAATAAGTTGGGATTTCCAGAAACAGATGATTATTTCAATATGATTCTTGGGGGTACGATAAGTCCAGCAAATTCAAATGATAGCTTTAGGATTTTGTACTTTATTTTAGCGAGGCTTTGAGTAAAGATTACAATAAAAATCAAACGTATTTTAAAGCAATTGCTTACTGTATGGGGTTCTATATTGGTACATAAATTTTTTCGTTTAACCGGTTTTGCCTTATTAACAAAGACTGTTTATGTTTTATGACCAAATCTTTTCATTTTCAAACGGTTATATTAAAAAAAAAAATACGTACTACTATATGAAGGAAATTGATTTAAAATGTTCCTGGAGAATTGAAAGACATTTAGAAAGCATTTACCAAACCTATTTGCATATCATGGTTGGAGCACAGAATACAAGATTATCAATAATCTAATGGCTATTAATTTACTATGCTGATAATGCAGATAGCTAGCTTGTGAGGATCTGATAACCCCAATGCTTTTCAGTCTGTTAAGTGGTACCATGTACGAATCTTCTGTTGCTCTACATTTTGTGAAAATCACGGTCACTGAGGCTGATATCCAAATCGTGGTCAATAGATCGAAAGGAGTAGACACATTTTGTTTCTCACCAAGAGGAATTGCATTGCCCGACAACATGCCTTTAATTTGGCACCTGACAGATCTTGAATTCATTTGATCAGATATCCTAAGAACAATTTAACTAGACTGAGCCAAATTCAAAATGTCATTTCAATTCTACTACTCTATTATACAAGATACTGTTGTTCTTTAGTATTAATTTGTATTATAATCTAGCAAACCATTTTGATGGCACTTTATCAATCTTGTGATTCATTTAGGGGTCTACCCTATTTAGGCTGGTTTTGCCGCCTGCCCGTCTGAGATTTATCGTGCTACATAGTGTGACTCAGTAGACTACTTTTCAGAGCACTTAAGTTACCAATAGCTTCAAAATCGACGCAATGGGACCACATAGGGAGTAAGTCTAAAAAGGCATGACTAATTTATGATGTTGTTAACGGTATTATCTTTTAACATCGGCGCCACTTGGCTTATCAGCTGTAAAAGTTGTCCAATCACGTTTCGGATACCTAATACCTAAAATCGAAAGCAACAACGTCAACAATGAAAATATACTATAAGTACCCCCAATTTCAATGTCATTGTCGCTTAACAACATCCATATATGTAACTTGAAAATAAATAAAAACAACTTTTATGTTGTCAAGTCGTCTGGCCAATCGTTTTAATTTAGCCACACAATTATAGCTGAATGAATGATGAATGTGGTTGGTTGGTGCCAATTGGTGGGCACTTGTAAGCGTGACAAACGCGTGTACCTACTATATATCATATTTACATTCCGTCATTCGTACATACACACATACATATGTATATACGAATGCACATGAATACATCTATACTATATGTATGTATGTATGTATGTATGTATGTATGTATGTATGTACTTGAATCACAAAGGCAAATTATTGTTTATTAACCGCAGTTGTATTTCGTTGCATGGGCCAGTTTTGTCAAGGAGCCCGCTGTCGTTAATTGTCAGTTTGTCAAAACACAGCACGTGAATCAGCAGCTGAGATTGATCGTGAATATTTACATACATACTTGTATGTATGATGATAAATCTCTTGATAGCGCATTGAGTCAAGTATGGCTATGGTTATGGAAATTTATTCATATTTATCCGCGATAAAACTAAAGATATAATAGGCTATTTTTAGGAGTGAACATACATATTCAGGAAGTAAAAGGGAACACAATTTTGTAGCTTTTATTTGAGTGCGAAATGTGGGGTACAAGGGGGTTTATGTATGCATCACTTATTTCCAAGAAGAACATTTGAAACAAACATTGATTCAACAAGTAGCAAAATTAGAAGCTGACTGGACGATAACATCTGATTTCGTCGAAAAAACAACTTCTTTCTCTGGCCGACAAATTCAGTTTTTCAAATTCCTGATAGAGAGGAATTACTTTTAAGATACATACAAATACATACATAAGTTATATGAGTAAAAAGAGTAATTTGCAGTTGTTTGTAATATATTTGCCTATCTGACCTTAGGTTTAGACTTCAAGTTTTGATTCCGATATTATGGATATAACATTAGTTAAGAGTGACTTTTTAATCGATCGGATAAAGTTTTAAATAGGCGTAAAAACACACATACATACATATGCTCGTAAAATGTTTTTTTTTTTTTTTTTTGTATAAGTAAATGTATTTTTTACATCGTTGTTATTGGAATAATCGGAATGATTGGGGTTTATAAGACAACTTCTTATAAGCATGCTTCTAAAAACATTTAAGGGCATTTTCATTTAGTGAATCATTTTATATTTAAAATCAACACCAAGTTGTTACAATTTACAACCAATTATGCAAAAAATGGTACGAAATCCGTATTGAAATGTGATAACAAACCCATTGGTATCTCTTTAGTTGGAGTTTTTCCGGTTTCAAAATCTTTTGGCATGCTTATATATGATATAGTCTTTAACTTCTAACCTTCTTCTAATGAATTTTTAATTTATTTTAAGAACTTTTATTTGGCAAACATTCGTTGTAAAACTCACGTGAAAACCAATAGAAACCAGTCAATTTTAGTTAGGTCTTTATGCATACTGAAGTCAAATTAGTTAAGTATGCATACATACATATATATATATAAACTGCGCTTTCACGCCTTTAGCCATTCAGGTGACCTTTTTATAGACATGCAACATAACAATTGTGAAATCTACGCCGTTAGCAACGGCTTAGCGTTAGAAAAAAATTGTCTTAGGTATTGAGTTTAAAAAAGAAGCACTGTAAACTAAATTATAGCAGCTACCAACTACGGTAGATATTCAGGTCGTCGCTTTTATGCTAAGGAGAAAAATTGCATGCGGCATAATTGCAGGCACACTCGCTCACACACACACACTCAAATAACTATGTAAGCATGTATGTACATATGTATATACGCACATATTGTATGTAGTCTCATATGTGTACGATGTTGTGTGGCAAAACTCATTTTGAAACATGAATGAGCACAGCACAAAGCCATGTTCGTCACAGTCAATGCGGTTGTCGTAATAATGAGTTGGAAGATATACAAGTAGATGCACATACATAGATATACATATATGTGGATATACACCGTTCGTCATAATAATATATACAAATGCCAAAATCAAAAGTTGGCTTGAAGCAAACATTTTATTAAGAAATTGTTATACCTCGGATTTGCGAAAATTCAGCCCCATATAATAATAAGAATAACAAGAATATAAATTACAATATATACTTATTTTTCTTTAGTTCTTACTAAATACGGTTAGCATTTGAGTCATATGGGAGAACTAGACCTTAAAATAAATTCTGGGCAGCAAATAATTCAATATGAAATGTGAAGTAAGACCAAAGTACAAAATGAATCCGGGGAAACCTAGGACTCAACCCCTGATACCGGGTTGGCAAATTTGACGAAGTCAGAGCGCAGGCGCGGAAGTAATTTTCAAGAAAAGTAGGAGAAAGATATAAGGTACTTAAAAAAATAAAAAGCAATTTATAACGGAATTGTTTTTATACCCTGTACCCAAAGGGTACAAGGGTATATTAGTTTTGTGCGAGTGTTCCATACACGCAGAAGAAGGCGTGGTAGACCCCACAAAGTATATATATTCTTGATCAGCATGACAAGCCGAGTCGATATAGCCATGTCCGTCTGTCTGTCTGTATGAACGCAAGGATCTCAGAAAGTATAAGAGCTAGAATAACGAATCTTGGTATACAGATTCTCCTGAGCCCGAGAAAGGACGAGTTTGTTCATTTTTCCCGATGCAACCCCCCACTCCCCCCCTATTCACGATTTTCTATAACTCTATTACTCCCGTAATTCTTGGAAACTAAAATTTGGCAGTCACATTAAGTTATTGATTATATATCCGTATACCAAGTTTCATTATGATAGGTTGATCAGAAAGAAAGTTATAGCCATATAACCAGGCCCAATGCACACATACATACATATGTACAAGTACACAAACACGCATAGACACGATTCTGATGTAAATGTATGTATGGAATATTTTATATTTAATTTAGTCAATTAATTAAATTAAATTAATTAATTAATTAAATTTCTTTTTTTGTGGGGTGGTACAGGGTATTTAAGAGTGGAGCCTGCTCGACTTTAGCATTCCTTTCGTGTTTATTTTGTTGAACAACTAACTCTGCACTCACTGAGTTGGCTACTTTAACCATTTATATTTAAATCAGTATATTTATTATCAATCCAATAGAATATGTAAGGAAGATTAAAATCGAAAAATGGTATCCAATGTAAAGGTTTGGATGGAATTTTTGAAACTTGATTTAAAGAATATAAAATTGATTTTTAAAGTGTTCCAATACTGACTTCTAACGAAAGCCTTCTGAGAGTCCCCAGTAGACAATTCTTTTTTATTTCTCTCTAATACTATGACAAATAAAAACAAATTATTTGAAGACAGCTTTATAAGATTATAAATGTTGTTGTAATTAGTAAGGATGATGCTTCTGCTTCCTATGATATTGAACAGTTGTGCTTAGTTGTAGAGTTTTACCAAATGGATTAATTTAATGTGAGATTTTTTATAACATTGATTCTCATTGAAATACATTATTAAGATACATATTTATAAAAGTGCGTCATAGAAATTGTTGTTCATTATTTTCAACTGTACAATATTATTCACTGGAAAAAATCATTAAGCCCGCGCGGTGCTTTCAAGCGAAAAACAATCCTAGCACACCCACACATACACTAATAAGAAAAGCAGCAACAAAACGTTTAGCATTGTTATTGTTGTTGTAGCTGCTGGTGTTAGCTGCTATTGGCAGGCGACTCCTTTGAATTAGCTGGAAAATTAAATTATCCTCGTAGTGTGGACATAGAGAGAGCACAACAGGGCCAACACAATTGATGTGGAAAAGGGCAGAGCGAGCAGCAGGAGCACCAGAATACCAAATAATAAAGAAAAAAGCAACAACAATGCGTTCATTACACAAATCTCGCACAGATACAGCACACACACACACACACATATGTATGCTCCCATATAGACGCACACTCACAGGCTATGTCATCCTAACTGCGAAGCTAAATTCCGTGAAATCCAAATTCAAGTGAGTGGCAATGGCAAAGACTTCGTAGACGACGTCGTCGTCGTCGTCGTCAGTGGGTACCAGCTGAAGATTCTTTTCGCCGGAACTGGCTATAAAGCAGAAAGAACTGCGAGCATGAGCGGCAACAAGAAACCCAGACCTCAACGCATGCCCTTTGCCGAGCGAGATGCGATTGTGTGTATGGCATGCGTTTGCGTATGTGTGTGTATGTGTGTGCCTTGTTGACTGAGCTTAAGCTTGTGCCCGCTTAGCCCATTTAACATCACCCCTAGTTTCCAGTAAAAATGCTTTAAGTATGCATGTATAGTATGCACACATTTTCGATTTCAATTTCCTTTGAAAAATGTTTTTAAATCAATTATTTTTTAGCTTGTTTCTGAAGGGCATACAGATCTTCTTAAACTGTAAGTCTGAGTATAAGGCAAAAGTCTGACATACACACATACCTCAAAATACCCAACGTCTATTTTTAACCAGCAGATTAATAGTAATTATGTCCCTAAGGACAAGAAAAACTTTAAAATCAGAAGAGTGATTGATTGATCAGTTCGAGGAGATACAGTAGAAAGGAAAGGTAGTCGCTGCGCGCCCGATTCTATACAAATAGTGTGAGCGTGGCTTTTATAAACTCTACCCCTCTTCAATAGTTTTTTTAAAAAAGAAATTACGAAAATATTACCGATTGCGTTTATACAGAAGGACGATCATGGACATATCATACTCATCGAAAACAAATATACAAGTACATGCACAAGTATTTTGTTTGTTCTGCTACGCCTTATTCTCAGTCCACATGTGATAATAATAGGAAAATAGCTTTCAAAAACAAACTCCACATTGTTAAATAATATTGTGGAGTTTTATTATTATCGCTTATCAAATAGAACTGTTACGTATCTTACAAGTACGTTAATTGCTTACACCCTTGAAATGGTAGAGCATAAAGCATTTATTTATTTGGGGTAGTCGCCGCTTTCTGAAGCTCGTCTTTTATGAACTGTGTACGTGTTAGGACCCCTTTTGGATAAAAAGCGATAAGAGTTTGTTGTTTATTGCACACTATACATACATACATGTGTATGTACATACATATCTATGAATTTAAATTTCAGTAGCAATCAAAAAATTATTTAAATTATTCCAGGAATAGAAAACAAATTTCGAAGACAATTCGCAGAACGAACGCGTCAAGAATTTCATCAATGTTTTTATTACGATATGTATACATTTCCCACAAAAGCTTAATTCACATGCGATGGTTATATTAAATGTAATCAGAAAATGTTATATTTGCAGATACTATTGGGGGGTGGTAAAGTTCTAGACAAAACGACGGTTCCAGTACAAAAACAACGACTGTTAAGTTGTGAAATCAATTCAACTGTGTACTTTACTAATACATTTTTAAAATCGTAATTATACGCTATTGTTCTACAATAAACCAAGTTTCTTATCTACTACATAAATATGTTTTTCGTTTTGTTCCAAATAAACAAATTTCAGGTGAAACAAGTTATAAACATATCGCAGGAGTCGATTGATTTAATTATTTCAATTGCCAATCGGTTATTAATAACTGTAGGTGAAATCAGCTTATGTATTATGTATATATGTATGTTCATACATACATACATATGTACATTATTTTTTATCAATAATAACAATTTTTATTGGTTTGCCTTGCTTGAGAGCGGACTGTGCGTTGGACTGTGCAGTGGTAGGAGAGAATAAAAGCGACACAGTAGTTGAACAATTACAAAGAAACCAAAGCTTTGAAAGGTGAAGAAAGAGGCGGCAACAGCATCCAAGTGCACCGACAAAAAAAACAACAAAAGCACAATCACAATATGCCGAGTAAAAGCAACACTAGAAAAAACATGATGAGCATAAGTATGCATGCACACATACACAGAAAGGCACACGGACACAAACAGACAAGCATTTTGGCATGAGCGAAGCTGCAAGCCGTATGCAAAGTGCAGCAGGTGAGCGGCTGCTGGTTGTGTATGTGTTTGTGAGAGTGTTGGTTTTCATTTTTGGGCAAACGCTGTACATAAAAACAAACTTGGCTTACGCTCACATGACAACGAACGCAGTGAGCGACATACACACACACACATACACAACACCTATACATGTGGTTGTTGCTATTTTTTTTGCGTGTCTGTTGCTGTTTCTGTGTTAGTGCTGGCTGGCAGTGGCATCTGCAGAAGCCTTTTGCGCACTCATCACATTTTCGTGGAAATCGAATCAAAAAGGAATAAAAACTATGTATATGTACATATGTATGTATGCATGTACATGTTTTGTGGCAGTGGCTGTTGCTTCTTTTCTAGTTCAGCTTCTGGTATTGTTGTTTTTGTTAATGTTATTGTAGCCACTGCCGCTGTTATAGGTGCACGTTTTGGGTAATTGTGTGCGTGTGTGTATGCATGCGTGAGTTTCCAATTAATAAATGGCATTATTAGCGTTTATTAATACCTTATAGTAAAGCAGCCAACCCTTCGTTATCATCAGTTTATATTCATTTTCAATAGCTTGGCGTGCCACTGCGTTATCCCTTTTTGGTTCACGATTATCGTCGGTTGTCGACGAATTTATTGGCTCACTCATTTTGCACTTTCCGCTAATATATATTTTGTGAATAACTTTAAATTTATGTGTATTTCGTGTTCGTATTTGATCTTAAAATTCGTTTTTGATCTCAACACGATGGTTAATGGATAGTCGAACAAATTTTAGAGCCTGCTATGATTGCTTATGAAAATTCGACAGACACCGACGCGCGACTTCGACTTGTTTTTCCAAGTGTGTTTGTTTGACTTTATACGAAATTATGGGCTTGTGTCTTGCCACATTATTTCCGATAACGGCACTTTACACTGTATTTGTTTAACACTAATTGCACGCCTTAACTTGTACCAATATTGAAATAATTCGCCTTCCTTTCTACAAAAATGAGCAGTAATTGGTTTCGTGTGCTCTCGTGGCCGCTAATAAACAGCAACGGCGCTGGCTAAATGGACAGGGTAACCATGTCACATTCAGAAAATACCAAAAGTACTGCAACTCTCTCAGTAGTACTGGAATTGTACAGCACTATTTTTAGCCATCCATACTGCAGCTGATTATTTAATAAAAACGCGTTATTAGCTTTTCCGAACTGCCTAAAAATGTTTAACGCTCGGATATTTCGCTTAGTGCACGACAAGCGACTGAGCGTGCCCTTCCTGCGCTGTTTTCATCACGAATTCTCAAAGCCCGACCCACAATTGCCAAGCAAAGAGGCAACAAATCAGAAGCAACTTAGCCAGAAAAGGGAACCCTTAGTTACCGGCGCTGTCAAACAAAAATACAAAGTCTTTCGCGATGATGAAGCCGTCGAAATTTTTGATGTGGAAGAGGCACGTGTCCGTTACCAGGAGCTGGAGCACCAACAGACACAAGAAGAAGAAGAAGAATCGGGACCAGACCAGTATTACGGTCTGAGCTTACAGAGTGCGTAGAAAGCACGCCTAATTATCTTCTGTACTAATCCTTCCATCGCTTTTTATAGGGGGCATTCGTGGTGTCTTTGACGTAGAAGATCTTGTGGAGCTGCTGCGCAAGGAACATGTGGATGACATCTTTGTTTGTTATGTGCCCGAGGACCTTAAATACGTTGACCACATGGTCGTTTGCAGTGCCCGAAGCTATCGGCACATGTTGGCCACCGCAGAGTTTGTTCGTCGCATGTTCAAAATTAAGCGCAACAAGAACGACATTCTGCCTCGCATCGAGGGGGAAAAGAGTCGCGACTGGATGGCCATGGACTTGGGAAATATAGCGCTGCACATTTTCTCGCCAAAGGCACGCGAAGAATATGATTTGGAATCACTGTGGGCCATCGGTTCGCAATACGATCATGAGAGCCAACAGCCTCAAAATCCATATGCTGATATGTTCCGACACCAAGACATATTGCAGCCGGAACAGCCGCCCAAGAGTGACCCCTAAAACCAATACTGTTTGCATGTATCTAATAAAAATCGCTTAATAAGTCTGTTCTAATTTTTTGAAATTGAAATAAAACTAGAGGTGTTCATTTCATTTTTGGATGCTTTCTTAGTCTCATAATAATGCTACAAACCAGTTTAGTTTTGTTGTAATGGTTTTTAAAATCTGTAAAATGTTATATAACCAGAAATTGGCTGATGCCACATATCCCAACTTTTTCCTTTTATTTTTGCTTTTACTTTAACGGGAGCAATTTTAAATATCAACCAAGCAGCTGTTTTTATGTGCCTTAAATAAAAATATAAGTATGTTCAAAATGTTCCTTACAATTGGGTTAAGGTAAAAGGACAGTTCATTTTATTTTAAATTCAGATTGTTAATATTAATTTATAGTTGATAATTCAGGACTATATATGATGTTTATCATACCTAAAGCGAATGAGTCTGGCGGCAGAAAGTTTGAAATTGCAAAACGAGTTGGTAGCTCTATAGACAACATATTTTGTAATGTTGCAGCCCTGGATGTTGCTAATGTGTTGCCGTACAGAAAAGGTTTGTGCCAATTTTTTTAAATTATTTGATAAAATAATGAAACTACGTTCTGTCTGAAAGTAACTAATATAATAGGCTCCAACTCGACTGTCCACCAGCTTAAAATGGTTGAAGATGGAAGCCACATTTACTCCAAGGCAATAATTTTTGTGAAGCAGTTAAAATTAGCCCTGGTAGGAAATTTTAAGAAAAAAGTAAAATTTCTGTTTAAAAGTGTTTCTGTTAAAGTGTAATTTAAAAAAAAGAAGAAAATCAAATACAATTTATTATAGATAGATAAAAGGGAGTATTTCAGAAAAAAGCATCAAGATTTGCAAAAGATGAGATGAGTTGCATCGCCATGTTATGAAGGCAAGTTTATACTTGTTTATAACATTTGAGATTTTATGATATGAAAGATTTTGGTTTTAAAATGTGTAATTAAAACGAGTAGAAAGTTGGAGAATATCAGTTGTGTTTAAATTTAGAATGGAAGAAGGTTTAGATTTTTATAAGTTGGTACTTTCATTGAAAAAACTTGCCCCTTCGTGCATACAAGTATGGTATGGTATCTCTAGCTATTTTCATTTTGGGTGATTCTTGGGTTGAAGCGCACGGACGGGAATTCCTAATACCTCTCGTCTAATCCGACGTTATTTAAACTGAACCATTTACTTGTCGCGTAAAAGGTCTTTGATTTCATCACCACTTGGATTACTCCAAGAATATTTACAGTCGTCCAAATGAGCAAGCTTTTGTGGCACTCGTGCCAAGCTCCGATCGTTCATTATAGGGTCTTACATAATATTTTGAAATGCTTTTTATTTGTTTTCATGTTTGTTTTCTCTTTTGTTTTTAATGTACAAAGCGTCACTAATTATTACTAATTTCTTAAATTGCGCTATAAAAATATAAAACAACAATGACAAAACATTCCTATTGCAAATTAGTGCTTTCAGCTCTAATTTGAGGGACTTTTAAATTGTGAGCATTCACTAGAAATTTGTTTGGGCCCGCCTACCAAACGACTGAGTCGCTGTTCAGTTTTTTCTGAAAATCATAAAAACTGGGAAAGACGTGATTCCTTTGAATATCGTCGCCATATTTCTCCGCCAAATAGCGGACACTCTTCTCATGCACCAGCAGAGCATTCCAGCCGGCTTGCTTTGCCGCCAAATAATCTGTTGTGGGTCCGTCGCCGATGTGCAAACATTCCTGCGGCTTAATATTGGGAAGCTTGGACTCGATGAGGGCGCGCTCGAAGATCACCTTGCTGGGCTTCTCGGCCTTAACCTCATAGGAATTGATGGCGAAATCCAAATACTGATCCATCTTTGTGTTCTTAAGCAGCACATTCAGTCTCGGATCGAAGTTGGCTATAACGCCCAGCTTGATTTGTGGCTCCGTTTTGCGGATTTGCTTGAGTAAATCGACACTGCCATTGCATGGCTCCCAGCACATGGTTGTCTGGTAGAGTTCGATCAAATGATTGGAGAAATCGTTCAGTTTTTCCGCAGGTATCGCCGCACCGCTGTCCTCAAATGTGTCTGCAAGCAACAGAAACACATATGTATGTACATACATACATTTACGTACATATTGTATGTAGTTAATATTGAACTCTGCACCGTTCCAAGATTATTAGATAATCGGCAATTACTATACACACCCGCTATCAGTATTCGCCACCACTGCTGCCACTCCATTTGTGGCTTTATTTCGCGTCCAAAATTGGGATAAGCCTGATTCATTTTGTACCTGTTAAAAAAATACATATGTATGTATATGAATGGATAAAAATAAATTACGTGTTTATTGTTTATTTCAATGCATTTACTTCCGGCATTACCCACCAGTTGGCCTTGAAATTTTTCACCAGCTTGCTGTCGTCGCAGCGCACACCAAAGAGTGCGCCAATATCCCCATATTGCTTCCCCTTGGTCGTCCGAAACTGGAGTAATGTGTTTGTGACATCGAACGTGATCAGACGGAAGCGCTTCAGGCTACGCATCGTATCGTATCTGCGAGTATGTGATGAGTTGTTGAGCTTTGAAACAATTTTAATAGTAGATCGCTGTGTGTCGCCGAACTTGATAACGCGACTCCTACAGATCAATTCGATTCGAATCGTTTCGGATCGGATCGGCTGACTGATTAACTGATGGACTGAGGAACCACTTGCTGATTGAACAAACACGCACACGCGCGCTCCACTGTTGCGAATGAGATCAGAGCCGGCCAACTACGACGTGCGGCGCCTGATTTCTGTTTCGATTTGTGTGGGTCTCTGTTTTTATTTTGTTTCAGATTCCAGTTTCTGAACAAATGCTGTTGCTGTTTTTGTTGTTGTTATTTTCGTTGTTGTCGTTGTGTTATCAGCGGCAAATTTCCACCACGCTCCGCTCGTGTGCGTGTGCTTTTAATACAAATTTAAATACAAATGAATCCCTGCATATATACTCATATATACATACATACATACACACATATGTATTTATACTACATCGCATGTGCGTGTGTGTGTGTTGGGCTGGGCGGCAGTAACAGTAGCATCACATACCAAAACTGTTGATTAATGGACAAACAGCACCACACGCCAAGTTCTCTTGGCTATTTTTAAACTACATACATACATGTACATATGTATGTATATATGTACATACATTTCCACATATAGTATGTTTGTATATACTGTTATTGTTTGCTTATCAGCAGCTGTTGTATCTAAGTGTGTTAATATTAGTTCGTACATTTAGCAATCATTAGTTTGAAGGTGCAAAAAACTGATTGTATTTATTTGCGCTGATAAGCTCGCAAGGTTGAGGGTTTTAGTGCTGCCGGTCACTTTTTTTAATTTTTTTCAATCCATTGAGCTGCCGCTCTACTGTCTACACTCCATCTGGCAGCATTGTTAGTTGATGTCTTTGCTTTCCGAATTCGAAGCTCGAACATTTGCACACAGCATTGTTGGTTGCTGTCGTTACTTGCAGCATTCGAAGTTCGAACATTCGCACACAGAATTGTTGGTTGCTGTCTTTGCCTGCAGCATTCGAAGTTCGAACATTCGCACACAGCATTGTTGGTTGCTGTCGTTACTTGCAGCATTCGAAGTTCGAACATTCGCACACAGAATTGTTGGTTGCTGTCTTTGCCTGCAGCATTCGAAGTTCGAACATTCGCACACAGCATTGTTGGTTGCTGTGTTTGCTTGCAGCATTCGAAGTTCGAACATTCGCACACAGCATTGTTGGTTGCTATCTTTGCTTTTCGAATTCGAAGCTCGAACATTCGCACACAGCATTGTTGGTTGCTGTCGTTACTTGCAGCATTCGAAGTTCGAACATTCGCACACAGAATTGTTGGTTGCTGTCTTTGCCTGCAGCATTCGAAGTTCGAACATTCGCACACAGCATTGTTGGTTGCTGTCTTTGCCTGCAGCATTCGAAGTTCGAACATTCGCACACAGCATTGTTGGTTGCTGTCTTTGCCTGCAGCATTCGAAGTTCGAACATTCGCACACAGCATTGTTGGTTTGTCTTTGCTCGCAGCATTCGAAGTTCGAATATTCGCACACAGCATTGTTGGTTGCTGTCGTTACTTGCAGCATTCGAAGCTCGAACATTCGCACACAGCATTGTTGGTTGCTGTCTTTGCTTGCAGCATTCGAAGTTCGAACATTCGCATACAGCATTGCCAGCCTTAAAATGTAGCGGAGTGATCAACGTACATAATTCTGGTTCTAACATTGGAGAGTACTGGAAAAACTAAACTGTTCTTTTTGGGTTTTGTTTTTGAAAAAACAATAAAACTGCAACAATTGAGTGAAAATTATATATTTTATAATTTAATAAAATTTAAATTGGATGTAATTAGGTAAAAGGCCCAAATAATACGAAGAAAAAGAAGTATAATTGGTCGAGATTTTTATTTTCTTATTCAAATAAAGTCCTTAAGGGAAGTTTTTATTTAGTTATAACATCGAAATGTACAAGATTTGTTTTTTTTTTTTTTGTTAAGCCACAAAATTATTTAGATAGTCTATACTCTCAATTGATACAAACAGAAGAAATTGTGATCGAATATTATTATTTCATTACATTCTTTTGACATAATAGCAATCAAACGTTATAAAGTAAACCAAATCATTATATTTTTTATAAAAGTAAATAGCTTTTCCAATGAAAAAAAGTCACTAACAACAACTTTGATTCGATGAAGGAGTGTTTTATAGCCCGACCCAGCAGTTAAGCACCTTTTCAGAAGGTTAGATAGATGATAATGTTATAGCTCGAAACGTTATAAATAAATATATGGTATTTATAAAATAAAAAATTAGAACGGCACTCCTAAGTTACATGCGAAAGCAATTTATTTATTTATATAGTATATTTCATCGACAAACAATGCAGCCGATGTAAAAGAAAAAACAAAACAACAACAATCAATACAATAGAGAACTAAAACTAAATAAAACTAAAGAAATAAAAAAGCCTATAAAAATTACAAAAATATCTAATAGCAATGAATCGGCTGTTCCAATATGTTATCCAAAACATTCTACAGCACTTGGGAAATGTTAATAAGGATTGTATCCAGATTCAAAAGTTCAAAAGTGTACACACATACATGGTTTTGCTTTTCTTACCAATTCCCCTGACTACATGCCAATAATTTGTCGGATCTATGCCGCAGCAAAGTCTGGCATTTATTAAAAACACATTAACATTGAAACATTATCAATTATAATTATGTGTGCAATTGAAAGTTTCGTTTTTATTATAATAAGTAACATTTATGAAGATACTGAAATTGTTCTTCCTTTTGAAAATGTTAAAAACCCAATTTATATGTAATCTCCAATAAAAAATGTAAATTTCAACCACCCAGATCCTTGTTGAGCAATTAACGATTTAATTTGGTTTATAAGTGTTGCCAACTAAGGGGTTCTTCTTTTATCGTTTGTTGTTGATTTGGAATATAGGACATATAGAGAGACCTGGAAATAACCCTGAAATCGTTGGAATTTCGCACAATTTTCTTCATTGCTTTCATATGTGCGCTTGTGTTTTGTGAAAATCGATAAGTGATTTTTTTGTATTTTTTAATTGTCCGAAATTTATTCAACAAAGAAATTTGTTGTAAAGAATGCAATATTTGAAGCTGATATGTTAAGAATGAATGGCATAAGCTGTTCAATTCGAGTCGAGAGAACATCCAAGACGACCCAGAACATCAATTGATGAACAACTCGTTAAAAAACGGAAGAGTGGTCCTACAAAATCGTAAATGGACTGTAAGAGTTAGTGCTGATGCCGTTGGCATTTCTTATGGATCAGTTAACAGGCAGTAGCTTTATCAGAAATTCAAAAATCTACTATGTATCTGCTACTACTTGTATCTACTGTACAAGTAGAATTAAAAGACGTTTCTATGTAAATCTAGAAGCGCTATTGCAAGTCTTCAAAGAGGCATTAGCTTGTCTTTTTCTATTTCAAAGCAAATGAAGTACTATACTATTTTAAATTGCTTGAAGCGCTATTAATTCTTCTTTATATACATATGTATGTATGTTTCCATCTGTAACGGATAATGGAAATATTTAAAAATGATTTAAGGCACAGTCCTCGCTTATCGTTTATGCGCAAGCGCGCCGCGCCGTGTCGCGTCGGCTTGCAATGTCAACGTTGTTGCTATTGTTGTTGGCGTCGTCGCAATCGTTTGCCAAAATGTGTAGAAACTTCACATATGAAAACGTGTCAGTTTTATTAATGTTCGTGGGAAGCAACAACAACAATAACAACAACAATAACAGCAGCAGCAGCAGCAACAGCAACAACTTGCACATATTTGCGTTTTGACCTACCTATCTGGCTTGTTGCCTGACTGCCTACCTGTTGATGACGCCGTTGCCGTCGCCGTCGCCGCCACTGCCTTGTTGGAGCATGCGCAACGTCTTGGAGTTGGTGTCGGTCTTGGAATTGGAATTGGAATTGGTACTGGCATTGGTTGTCTCGTTTGCGCTTCTTTCGCTAAAGTAAACACAAGACTAAAGCGGCCGCAGAGACGTGTTCGAAAAGAGCCAAAATGCAAGAGAAAAAAACCACAACAACAACAACAACAAAAACAAAAACGTAACGAAATAAATGAAATACCGTATAAGGTATTAAACGAAATTCCAGTGAAAAACGCATAAAAATAACAAAAGCATAAATTCATTCATACGCCAAAGCTGAAACAGCGGGTGTGGCGGTGGCGCGGCGTTCAAGTGCAATGCAGCCGCATGCGGCATCGTCCGCCAGCCCCAACAACAAACAAAAATACATAATAATAATAACAATAACAACAATCGGTGGCAAGCAACGGCAGCAGCAACCGCCAACCGCGCAGCAGCAGCGACTTAAAAAGCCAAAAAAAAAAGAACTCAATGCGCCGGCCACTTGGCCCTCCAAAAGACCAAGACCAAGAGTGTTGCATGCAGCCCCAAACACGCACTAAGACAACAGCAACAACAACAACAACAACTTCTTTGCCTTCACGCGACGGCGTCCTCTTGCTGCTCTTCCATTTCCACCTCCACCTTCACCTCCTCCTCGGGGCCCATTGGACAGGTCGTGGCGTTCATGTTTGTTGACTCGTCGCGCGCCTACAAAAATGTTTCTCCTTTTATTTCATCTTTTTCCCTCTCCTGTGCACTTTTGGTGTTTGCCATTTTCTCTATCTCCATCTCTCCATCTTCATCACCTCCTCTCCCAGCCGCTCTCTTTCACCGCTTAAAGCTATAAATAAGGCATTAATTTGTCCGTTAAGGTTTTTTATTTCCGTAGCACGCAAAAAAAAAAATTAGAAGAAATTCCCTAAACTTCCCCTAAAATTTATGAGAGGTCGGCTGAGATCCTGAGCGTCCCTAGTTGCTTATAAATTGAATCGCGCATTCTTATTGATCGCAAATCTAGCTTGGCTCTTAAAGCAGAAATCGAACTCCTGCTGCTTTCCAATAATTGCCAAAAGGAATTTTTGAATTCCTTAAAAATGAAGATTTAAGATTATTTGTAATTCTTTAATACGAAATTAAGTTCTGACATTACAGTAAGAGTTTCTAATTTCAGTGCATTTTATTTGGTAAACAGCCGGAACAATTTTGGACAAAGTTCATAGAAATTGAAAAATACGATATTGTTGTGATTATCACGGATTATTGTTGTTGTTGAGATTTGGCTAATAATAATAATAATCATAATCTCTATA